GGCTGTGTCATGCCTCAAAGGTTCTCCCATCCCTCCCACAAATAAAGATATTTACAACTAAAGTCCTATTGTTTCTCTAAAACCCTATGACCTCCTCATGGAATACTACACAGATTTCCTCACTGTCTTCTATACAGTCAATAGCTTTGATCCCCATAGAACTACAAACTGTTTGAAATGTCTTCTGTTTTAGATGGTTTTTATATTGTTTTTTAGTGCTAAGCTCATCAGTTATTCAGTGTAACAAAAAACTTCCATATACCATCTATGACAAAACCAATTTTCAAATTGTGATTTTGCTATCTGAAATAGTTTCTGTACAATTCAAAATAAGGCACAATATGCTAAAGCACTCTTTACTAGCACAAGACAGTCCTACCAAGGTAGACACCATAGAAACTACATTCATTTCAACCTTAAAAGGGACTAGATATAGTGCTACATGTTTTTAACCCCTGTGCTCAGTAGACAGTGGCTGGAAGTGGATTTCGGCTGAATTCCAGGCCAGCCTAGTCTACATTGCATGTTCCAGGCCAACCAGGGCTATAAAATGAACCTTCAGTTAAGTAGTTGGTGTTAACATATGTACTTACCAACTTCCTTCAACTTTATAACTTATCAAGAATCTTTCAGAAATGTACTTGCACATAAGAGCCTGAAGCAATAAATTCAAAGCCAGCCTGAGCTAGAGTGAGCTCCTATCTCAAAAACAAAATTATACACAGTTCTGCCTTGGTGTCATCACAACCAGACTGTAAGGTAGTATGTGTCCTGGCTCTTCTGACACATCAAGAATAGGTGAGGTCTATGTCAGAAATAGGGACCACACATTCAGCTGTCCTCTACTGTACTGGATGTCACAGTGTGTGACTAGAAGCAAAACAGTCCTTTCTCTTTTTTGAGAGGGTTTTGCTGTGAAGCTCTGGCAGTCCTGGAACTCTCTTTGTAGACCAGGCTGGCCTCAAACTCAGAGATCTGCTTTGATGGTGTAGCCACCACCGCTCGGCTAGAGTCCCCTCTTTATCCTCTTCTCCCTGGGCCTCCAGGTTGTTGGCATTGCTTGATGTCACTGCTTATGGTTAACTACAATGGGCTCTGCCCCATTCTCCCTGAATTAGACTGGATAGAAGAACCACAGTACTCTATCCTGTGGTCTTTAGATGCTCTGACCTCACCTCCAGGTAACGGGGACACAGATGCTTCATAGCATAAACCACTGTAGCCCATCCAGCAAGTGAATGGCTGGGCACAACACCTGATTTAAAACAAACAAACAAAAGGCTTTGAGGGTGACCACAGAACAGTGAAAATAGCAACCAGGCCCCAAGCCCATCTCCATCTATATGAAGGTAGGTAGCATTCCGGCTGTTTCCTGCTTGGAGCATTCCCAAAGGCAAAAGCTAAGCAGAAGCTCACCTGATCTAGGTATATTGATTTTGGCAAACCTACTTTGCAGAAAGTTCTCTTGAGAACACATGAGATCCAAGTCCCTTCTATAAAGTTGAATCCTTTAACCCTGAAGGATAAGATAAATGTAAGCCTCAGCCATGAGTTCACCTGACTATTCAGAAAGGAATCTGTAGTTGAGATGTTATGAATTACTTCTCCCCTGCCTCATACCTGAACCAGCAGTTTGACAGCTCTGAAGTGGAAGCCCTAGACTGCTAGCTCCAACCTCTTTCTACTGTAGAGAGCTCACTGCAATAGTCGAAATGTTTAGAAGGCATCTTTTAAAAATATCTACTTTTATTTTACATGTATGGGCGTTTGGTCTGTATACCTGTGCATTATGCATGCAGTGTCCACAGAAGCGGGAAGAGCGTGTCAGATCCTCTGGAACTGGAGTTATAGGTGCTTGTTAGCCACCACATCAGTGCTGGGAAGCAAGAGCAACAAGTGCTCTTAACTGCACAGCCATCTCTCCAGCCTCATTTTTTCTTTTTCTTTCTTTTTTTTTTAAAGGTAGGAAATTAAGGCTCTGAGAAATGAACCATTTTACTCAGTAGTCCTCCAGTCGATGAACTGGCCAAACATAGAAGAGCATCAGAGGGCTCAAGCTTCTAACCCAGATTCTTATAAACAGTATCAGCAACTGTGGATTTCAGTCACAAAAGGAACCTTGGGTCTCCCTGGGAGTGTGGCAGGGCTGGAAGAATCAAGAAGATCTGCTATTTCTGACTTAGGCTCAGCTCAGGATAGAAATAATGAGCTCGTTTCTTCAGCATTCAAAGCAATGTTACAGAAATGAGAAAATGCCTGCCACAGGAGCTTTCAATCTTCTCTTCCTTTATCATTTAAAAAAAAATGTGGAATCATACTAGAAAAATTTTTTTACTTAAGTCAAAGAATCTATTCTTACATCCTCAGAGAAAGCAAGCACAGCTATGTAGAAAAAAAACAGACAAGGAGGAACTCCCTCTTCTCCATAACTCCTTCCTTCCAAACTCCCATCAGACTGAGACTTGGAAAGGTGGGAAGCCAACAACTGAAGAAACCGCCACTGCCTCAACTGTAACTTTCTTCGCATAAGCAAGTCATGTTTTTTTCCAGAGAGAACTGAAAATGCAGGCATTCCTCACTTCCTGCTGACCCACACTGGCCAGCCAAACTGGAGATTTCCAGAGTGTAAAAGAAATGTCCTCCAGAGAACCATTTCCGAGGGTTGGCTACACAACGAATGGGCATGTGGTCACACCTGATCTCTCCTGGCAGTGGATGGAGGTGATTGATGATTGAGCAAAAGCTTCTCCAAAGCCAGATTGGGGATGTCCAGGGCATGGTGAAGGACATCTGAATGGTTTGTGAAGCTCTTAGGGGATGACAACTACCAAGAGGATTCAGCAAGAAGGCAGGCACTGCCAAAGAAGTTGTCAAAGGAAACAGAGTCTCAGTGCCCTCCTACAAGCACTATGACAGCTTACTCTACTCTACGCCACATAGTGGACAAGAGTCAGAAACAGAGCTGGGCATGGTGGTGCAAACTTTTAATGCCAGCATTCAGGAGGCAGAGGCAGGCAGCTCTCTGGCTTTGAGGCCAGCCTGGTTTACAAACTGAGTCCAGGACAGCCAGGGCCACACAGAAGAACCCTGTCTTGAACCCACCCACCCCCACTTCCATCCCTCAAAAAAAAAAAAAAAAAAATCAGAACGAGAAGCACCAATGATCTAAGGGAGAAGTTAACCAGGAAACCTCTACCTATGCAAACAAAAGCAAACCCTTTTTTTATCACTTTACAGCTTCCATCCCCCTGGACACCAGTTTTAGCACCCCTTCTATGTACAAGGACCTATGTATAAGTCAGTGTGCTTCCACCAACATATTTCTTCCCAGCAGTCAAACGTCAAGAGGCACCAACAATTGCTTTTGTTCCTTTTTTCTCAAGTGGGTGCATCTCTGACAGAAAAGCAAATCTGAATGAATGGAGAGAACTGAGTGGGTGAGGACATGGCAGGTGAGGTATCAATAGGAGTCCACATGCAGGCTTTCTGAAACACCACCACCAAAGGCACCAAAGAACAGAAAAGAGCTTAACATAGACCCAAGAGGCTTAAGCACACCTGTATCCTCTAGTGAAAAGTGATTTTACAAAGCAATCAAGTTTTGTAAACTTATGTTTTCCTAACACCAAATAAACTTGTGAGGCAACTTTTAGTTTTGGAAACATACAAAGTTACCTCATATTTACATCTTTAAATGGGCATACTTCAAAATTCTTTGTTATTTGTTAAGGCCATGAATCTGCAGGCCAGGCCTCCAGGTGAGGACGAGGCAGAAGTAAGTTTAATGGGATACATCTGAATAAGATCCTCAATGCAGGCACTCTATTAGCTCTTGAAATATTTTCTTTTTAAAACTATCAGGATCATCTTGGTAATTTAAACCAGTATTTCCCAAAGAAAAATAAACTATAAAAGTTCAAGTGCTATAAGTGAATGTTTTGGGTTTTGTTTTTTCAATACAGGGTTTCTCTTTGGGGCACTTGGCTGGCCAAGCCCTTGCTATGTAAACCAGGTAGGCCTTGAACTCACAGAGAGGCCTCTGCCTTTCAAGTGTTTGGATTAAAGATGTGTGCCTTCATATCTGGCTATAAGTATGGAGAGCTCACTGGAAATTGATGGTTCATTTGGTATTTAAAAACAAAAGTGTTACAGGCCAACCATATTGGCTTTGGCATGTAATCTGTTATCACTCAGAAAACTGAGGCAGAAGAATTTCTATGAGCTCAAGGTCTGCCTAAGGCTAAGTGAATTCCAGGCCAGCCTGGGCTACCCAGCAGATCTTGTCTTTAAAGAAAAAAAGGGGGGGGGGGGGGAGCAACTTGGTCTGAAAACAATGTAAGAATGCAAATCGCCTGCATTCTTAAAAACTGTGATGCTGAAATACAGTCAAAAGCAGACGAGGAAATAAAGGCATGTGAAGAACCAAAATGGCACTTTTCTTCTTTAATTTTGGTAAGAGGTTTCAGGAAAGCAGTTTCAACATAAGGCAGTACTGTGGGCTGCCCAATAGGTCACCATTGACTTCATCAAGTAAAGACCCTTTCTGTGCCACCAAGTACATCTCAGTTGAAACTCTAAGGCCCTCATTTCTGTGTTCTTCATACTTTCAAGCCGGGAACACTTCGGTGGAGGACAATGAGCCAAAGCCTCTGCCATTACTAACCTTACTTTTGCATTTCTCATCAACAGCCTCCCCAGCCCATAAATTACAAAAGCCAGTTCCTTTGTTGTATTCCCACCACCTAAGGTGTGAAAACAGAGCAGGTACTTTCTTTGCCTACTCTTAAGCTATTGAGCATAATTTAAAAAGGCCATCCCTGAAAAGCCGACAGGGACCCTTTGGTTAACCTATTTCTCTTGCCCAGAATAAGGACAATCCCTACCCCTTCTCCTAGCATAAAGAGAAAAGCTACAGCCTCGAAGGAGTAAAAGGGGACACGTGCCCCTTGCAAGTGCCACCCGAGGAGGTCTTGCCAGGCGCCACAGGATAGGGTCCCTACCTTTTCCGCGCGGCCCGGAACCGCTGGCACCACCACTGCCCACAGCGCAGGGTGCGTCTTTCCTGGGCCTCTTGCTCTGTGGCCGCACGCTGGACCTTAGGAAGTGGTGCTGGTCCTGGGGGCTGCCCTGCGGTGGGGACGGGGTCGGCAGCCCTCTGGGTGGCGCGGGGGCTCCGGCGGCCCGAGGGGTCTGCCCGTCCCTCTTTGTGCTGCTGCTGTCCTCCGCCGCGTCCGCGCCGCCGGGCCCCTCTCCGTCCAGTGACTCCTCATCGGCCGTCCGCTTGCCCAGCTTCTTGAGCCCTTCCTCCCCGCTGCCGGCGTCGCCCAACTTCACTGTCATCCTGCGGCGGGAGAGGCGAGGAGCGGTAAGGCGGGCGGCGGGCAGAAGTTTACCGCCGGCCTCCCAACATGGCGGCCGTTGTTTGTTCCAGCGCCGCCCGCCGCCCGCCCGAGGGCCCGCACAGTGCTGAGCCGAACCGGACGGGGACCCCGCCCCGCCCTTGGATGCCCCCAACCCAGGTTGACTGACAAGCCCAGGGCCGCGGAAGGCAAGGCAGCATGACCGGGCCTCGGCGCTACGGGTCCCGCTGTCCCGCCACCTACCCCACCGCGCCGCAGCTCATGGCCCCCAGGTTGGGCCCGCCTCGCTCCCCGCACCACCCGTGGTCCCGGGCCTCTCCTCTGCTCGCTGGAGACGCGCGCGATCTTGCCGCGTACCTGCCTATTAGAACGGCCCGCGCTGCCCTAGGAGCCCCCTGTGCTCCACGGGCCAAAGCTGCCGCTCCCTCCGAGGCTGGCATGCAAGAGAGAGGCTCTGCACTCCGGGAACCTTCCCAGGCGGGAGATGGGAAATGGACCGACTACACCGCTCGTGCAACAAAGCCTGTTGCATGGAACAGGTTAGGGAACGCCGGAAAAGTGACAGCAAACACTGTTATATTCCAGTCGGATTTCAAGAATCGGAACTGAACTATGTATGTAAACAATTCTGGAAACAACAAAATTCTTGCGTTAACTTCTACCACTGTCATAAGAAATACCGATAAACAAAATAACAATTAATTTGCAGCCTGGAAAGGTTATGCTCAGAATAAACTAAGGATCAGGTACATTCTAACATCTTACGCACAGGCTGTGTACGTGATGAAGCAGTAAAGAGAAACATTGCGTTCTTCAGCAGACGCGACACTAGGCTCAACACAACTGCTGAGAACATTCCTATTTAATAGGAAAACCACACAGGGCAAGGCACTAATGCTAACAAAGAAACAGACTGAAGATAAAGACCAGGACTTAAAACCCTTAGCAACACCACAAAATGGTGCTGCCGCAAATGCTGTGCAGCTTCCCCGTTTGGAACTGATCTTTCAAATACTGGCTTAAGAAGACTCTGGCACAGAACCACACAAGGCGCATACCCCACGCTAGATGATTTCATGGCACAGGACTTCTCTTCGAATCTATCCACTTTTAATCCCCTCGCCAAGGTGCCCAGAACCCTGTCATTGCGCTAGGAGTGAAACCCTTTCCCAGACACGTTCCTGCCAACGCCACCGAGCAAAACACAGCAGTCCAAAGGGACTGCGCGTTCCGGTCGTTCCCCGGCGCCGGGGGACTCCACAGGAGTCCGTCGCCGAAACCCGTCACTTCCTGACCGTGGGAGGCTCGGGCTGCGGGCTTCATCCCGGATCCACACCCTTTGTCCCATTTCTGGTGGGAGAAACTCGCACCTTCCCGAGGAACTGACCGCCGGCCGCACGCGGCGCAGCCCGTGAATGCCGCGGGCCCTTCGCGGATCCCGTAGGCTCCCGAGCGTCGCCTGCGGTCACCTTTTTCATCCACGGCTCCCGGCAGCCCGGCTCCCGGGCTTCCGCGGGCGCCCGCAGAACCAACCGGGCCGGGCAGCTCCGGCTGCGGCGAGGCCGCGACGCCGGGCTGGCGGTCGTGTGTCCGAGGTGGTCACCGAGCACCGTTCCCTTCCCGAGTCCTCTCCGCGGGACCGGCGCGCGGCTAGCAGGGCTGAGGGCGCCGGTACAGCCGCCGCCGCCGCTCGCCCTCCCACACCCGGGCCGCCGCGCTCCAAACAGTTCCGGCTACGGCGGCCGCGGGGGACCTGAAGTCGGCGACGGAGCGGGGCGGGGCGGACGCCTCTCCAGAAGACGAGCGCGTCCGGCTTTTCTGCGGGCGCGCCCAACCAGCCGTGCTGCCATTGGTCCGCAGCGGCTGCGTGCGCGCGCCCGCGCGGCCTCCCGGGGCGGGTCCGCAGCGCGGGGCGTGTTTTGACGGCCGCCTCGCGCCCTTGCGGGCCGTGCGTCTCTCCGGATTGGCGAACCGACCAGCCAATAGGATCGGCGGGCTGGCTGTGATTGGCTGTCGCTGTGTTGACGGATGCGTGAGAAGAAATCACCGCCTCGGTGGGGCGTCTGGAAGCGCGCGCGGACTCGGGTGGGGACCGGGCAATCCGAAAACAGGTTTAGGGCCGTGAGCGCACCGGCGCGTGGCCCGCTGCCGCTCTTCCCCCGCGAAGCGATAGGGAAATGTGTTTTAAAAGCTCTGCTGCTTGGGCAGCTGGCGTCTGAAAGGGAGTGTCCCAGTTCGCAGGGGGTCCCCGCCCCCGGTTGGCCCCTTCGCCCTTTGGCGTGGACCGTGCCACTGCGCCTGCTCCCCGGAGACACCCGCCGTTGGCTAACACCGGCTGAGGTGCGCACCGGCGCCTAGCCGCGAGGCCCTGCGGAGCCCCGCTGGCGGCCGTCTCCCTCGGCGTCAGCGCGCCACGCTCGGGGGCGGCGTCCGGTACGCGGAACGCCCCGCAGAAGCCCTCGAGCCGCGCCCTCCGGTCCGAGACGATGCGGCCACGCTCCGCGAGGTGCCCGCTGGTACCTTGCGTGGTGGGGTGGGCAGGATGAGCCCGAGAGGAGGTGTCAGGAAGCCTGACGCAGCCTTCCCGAGCCGCAGATAGCGGTAGCACACCCCAGCAGGCGTCCCGAACTGTGTTCCTCGGAGCTGCCCCCGGCCGTACCGACTGTCTTCGGCTCTTTCCGCCGCCAGTTGTTCGGAGGCGCTGCTCTCCTCCGACTGCTTCCGCTTTCGTCCGGCGGCGTTGTCCCGGCAACGCGGAGGCACGGGGAACCTGGCGAAGTTAGATTCCCATAGCTGAGGTGCAGGGGGGCTGTGGCCGGAGTGGGGGTGGGGGGAGTGGCTGGGTAGTGGGGTGGGTCGTCCGGGATTGGGCTGGGGCCTAGCGGTGACCTTCCAGGACCCTCTCAACTCCTCTCTTCGCTGGCTTCTTGAAGTTAGTTTTTCTGTACAATACTAGGGCCCCCTGCTGGACTTTTGAGTTGCCATGTGGGTTCCCTCTGGATGCATTTAGTGCGAAGTGGAGGGGAAGAAAAGAAAACCAAAATCCTGCACTTGGTGGCGTATAAAGATACCACGATCTGAGTGGACCGCGTTAGGCTACAGCCTTTCAGCAATGTACCTGATGCAGGCAGTGATCTTATTCTGGCCTAGAGGGCTAGACTTTAGCAGGGTGGTCCTTAGCCACCACCCCCAAAAGTCTACGTTAGGACTCACTCTTTTGTTCCTGACAGTTTTTCAGAGGATTAACTTTCCTTTAGCGTTGTTAGTATGATTCTGTGGCCTAATGAACAGATTCTTTCCTAAAAAAAGTTGTCATGATGAAGGCACTTTAACAACTATAAAATGACTTGGAAAAGTGAAAACTTCCTTTTCTTGTTTTATGTTTTATGGCCTAGATACTTGAAGCTTGTTTTTAATAAAAGGAAGGGTAAGTACTCTATCCTGAACTGAGGCCATTAACAGATTCTTGTTATGTAACTATTTTATTGTAAGTATCTGCCTCCTAAAGCTTACTTTAATAACTTTAATTGTTTGGCTAATACTCATTTGCCAAAATGGTTGGTGGCGCATGCTTTTAATCCCAGTACTTGGAAGGCAAAGTCAGGAGGATCTCTGTGATTTCAAGGCCAGCTTGGTCTAGAGGGAGTTCCAGGACAGCCAAAGTTATACAGAGAAACCCTATCTCCAAAAACAAACAAACAAACAAATAAATAAAACCCAAGTGCTCTGGGCAGTGGTGTTGCATGCCTTTAATCCTAGCACTTGGGAAGAAGAGGCAAGCAGATCTTTGTGAGTTCAAGACTTGGTCTACAGAGCAAGTTCTAGGATAGCCAGGGCTACACAGAGAAACTGTTTTGAAAAACAAAACAAAACCCAGCAAACTTAAGTGCGGGTGAAAGAGAGAACGAAGAATTAAAACATTGTATAAAAATGGATGTATAGAAGTTAGCATGAAGCCTTTTTTTTTTTTTTAAATAAATATGATTTCTTTTTTTCTTATTTTGAGGGAAGGTCTCACTGTGTAGCCTTTGCTGCCTGGAATTCAGTATGGTAGACCACACTTGCTTTAAACACATAGGGATCTCTGCCTCTGCTTCCTGAGGGCTGGGTTTAAAAGCTTGTGCCATCATTTTTGGCATATTTTTAATTTTAAGTGTGTGTGTGCGCACAGGTGTGCTGTGAGGTGCCTGATGTGAGTGTTGGGAATTTAACTTGAGTCATCTGGAAGAGCGCAATGCTCTCTTAACCACAGAGCCATCTTTGAAGCCCACGTAACAAATTAAATGCAGCATCTCTGCAGTTGCTCTGGCTTTGTGATCCTAATTGTTCTCTACCACCTATAAGTCATAGTTAGACCACATTCTTGAGCTTTATGGTTTTACCGAAATGGAATGCTGTTCTTCTTTTTTTCTGTGTAGGTATTCTTTTATGGGAGTTTGCCTTTATTTTGTTTCAAAATTTTCTTTAAAGGTATTTATAGAAATTGAAATCATGCTTATTGTGTCTGGAATGAGAATTATCAAGAATTATTTGAAACTCCCAGGTTCAGTACTTGCTTGCTTTCATTCTCTTTTTAGTTTTTTTCTCTGATAGCAATGAATTTTACTTCTTTTCCAGCACTCTGTGGGTCATTCCAAGCCCAATCTTTGTTTCTAATTTTATATTTCTCCCTAATAGAGCTCTCTAGCAAATGAAATAGCCTGCGTTAGTCTAAGGAACATTTTTAAGCTAAGTATCTTTGGAGGTTTGCTTTCCTTCTGTAATTTATATGTAGTTGCTCTTGGTGGTTTTTTTTCCTCTCTGCAGGTTTCATTCTTGACTAGGTCTATGCACTAGATCTGTCATCATGGCACTGTATTTTGATCACCGAATCAAAGCTCCAGATGTATCCAGGTCTCCCTCTCACATTACCTGGCACCCTACCCACCCATTCCTGGCAGTAGCATCTGCAAGCCCATCTTCTGGAGGCAACATAGACATCTACCTTGAGCAAGTGAGTCATCGGAGTGATGTTGGCTTTAGCAGCTTCTAGCTCTTCTGTTCTTTTCTCTTCTTGAGGCATGGAGGCCAGGAGCTGGGTAACTCAGCTCTAGATTTCTCCTTATCAGTTCATCTCCCTAAGGGCCAATTATTCCCAATCATCAAAGCCCTTATTTATGGTAGTTCTTTTATCCCTGCCATATAGGTTCAAGAGCATGATTAAACCTGACCCCTATACTATACCTGCCTTCTTCAACTTTTCATGTGGCCCTTTGATTTTCTTTAATTTTATTTATTTCATATGTATGATTGTTTTGTCTCCATATGTGTATATGCACCATGTGTATGTCTTCAAGGTCAGAAGAAGGTGGATCCACTGGAACTGGAGTTGTAGGTGGTTGTGCCATCATGTTGTACTAGGAAACAAACCCAGGTCCTTAGCAAGGTCAATAAGTACTCTAAACAGCTTAAGCCATCTCCTCAGCCCCATGCTGACCCTTTCAAACTGCACTAGTTAACTATGGCTGCTAGAACAAATTACCACAGACCGGGTGATTTCAGAGAGTAGAAACGCCGTTTCTCACAGCTGGAAGATCTGGATCCTCCTGGCCACCCAGTCTAGCTGAAGCACTGAGCTCCAGGTCCAGATGAGAGACTCTGTCTCAAAAAGAAGGGAGCTGAAGATGGCCCAGTGAGTAGAAGTGCTTACTGCCAACCCTGAGGGCCTGAGTTCAGTCTGCAGGACCTACGTGGTGGAAGTTCTCTCAAGCTCATCTCCACACACATCTTGGCACACACATGTATACGCACATACACACAAAATAAGTAATTTTTAAAAATATATATTTTTTTATCTTATGTGCATTGGTGTTTTGTCTGAATGTATGTCTATGGGTGTCAGATCTTGGACTTATAGGCAGTTGTGAGCTACCATGTGGGTGCTGGGAATTGAACCCAGATCCTCTGGAAGAGTAGTCAGTGCTCTTAACACTGAGCCATCGCTGCAGCCCCCCCAAATAATTAATTTTTTTAAACAGATTCAATTTGTATTTATTTTGTGAGAGCGTGTGAGCGCACAGGTGTGCCAGTACTCTTGGATACTAGAAGAGGGTTACTGGCTCTGGAGTAGAGATGACTGTGAGCTGTCTGACGTCTGACGTGGGGCCTGGGAACTGAATTCAGGTCCTGGAAGAGGAGCAAGAACTCTTAACTGCTGAGCCATCTCTTCAGTCCCCAATAAGTAACTTTTTAATTAAAAATAATGTGGAAAGTAACTGAGGAAAATACCCATCATTAGCCTCTAGTTTTCACATATGTGTTGTACTGTGTTCATGCTATGTGACCCAGACACACACGAAAGACCAGCTACCACATCTCCTTATTAAATAGGTCTTCTGATTGTAAAATAGCTGATGTGAGGTTTGTGGTTGCACGGTTTCTTGATGTATCCACTACTGTCTACAACGGGAGATTTTACTTCTTGTCCTACATAGGGTGAGCCTGTGCCTGACACCCACATTGAGAGGTCCTCCCGGGTCACTTCACTGTGCTGGCACCCGACAAGGCTTATCCTGGCTATTGGCTGGGAGACTGGAGAAGTGATAATGTTTAATAAGCAGGACAAGGAGCAGCACACAGTGCCCCTGCCACATACGACTGACATTGTCATCCTCAGTTGGAGTACCAGTGGGAGCTGCCTGGTATCTGGAGATAAGGTAGGTACACAGCCTCCATCCTCACCATGCATATAGAGATACATGTGAAAGATGCTAAAAACCAAGTTATTTGAAATGTGTGGTTTCTAGATTCAACTGATCTCATTTCCTGGTGATTAAGTATTTAAACATATGAGCCCATGGAGGCCAGTCTTATTCAAACCACTATACCTCTCTAAACTTCAGGCCTTGGTTAACATAAGAAAAAACGCTATAGAATGCCGCCTTTATCAGTGGTACACTGTGGTGAGACTTGTGAAAAGTACCGAACCATCAAGACAAGGTATACGAGCAACTCTGCTCACTAGTTCATCACGGTAGCAAACATTCAACATGAAGAGCATGGAAAAAAGAAAAGCTTAACTTGTAGTTCCAGGGATTCTCATCTATGGCTGCTTATCCATGTTGCTTTGGGCATGTGTTACCATGGCAAGTGTGCATAGTGGAAAACATCTCTACACATCATGACTACCAGAAAGCAAAGAGAGAAGGGCCCAACATCAAATGTCTGTTTTAAGGCCATACCTTCCATTAGCTTAACTTATTTCAGTAGAGCCACCTCCTAAGGGCTGGGACCAAGTATCTAGCATGTGGCCTTTGGAGACTCTAACAAGAGTATAGTCCTTATTTGCTTAATTTTTAAATGGAGTATACTATGCACACTCCTCTGTTTTTGCATTTTTCATCTTGGAGTTTTTTTTTTGTATTGGTAAGTAGAGATATTTCTTGTTCTCTTGTATTTGGCTTTTCATTATATAAATATAACAATTTATTTAACTATCTGCTAAATACTTCAGTGGCTTCTAGTCTTTTGGCAAACAGACAAAGGTTACAGAAATGCAGTGGGGAAGTCTAGAGGATCCAAGGCTTATGACATTAGAAGGCATATTTTGTTTTGTTTCAGTGCTAGAGATTTAACCCAGAGTCTCATGTATCCTAGGGAAAAGTTCTACCACTAAGCCTCAACCTTGTGGTTAGATAGGTATTTGCCAAAACATTCTATGGTTTTATAGTTGCTCACAGCATGTGTGGTTCCTCATAGAGGGAATGCCTAGGAATAAGAATTTTGCTTAGGGGCTGGAGCCAGAGGTTCCTGAGTTCAATTCCCAGCAACCACATGGTGGCTCATAACCATCTATAATGAGGTCTGGTGCCCTTTTCTGGCATGCAGTCAGAACACTGTATACATAATAAATAAATTAATTTAAAAAAAAAGAATTTTGTGTAGAAAAGTAGTATCTCTTGGAACCTGAGGATGTAATTCAGTTATAGAATATTTGCCTAGCATGCCCTGGATTTGATCACTAGCAACTCATAAATTCAGTATGACAGCACATGCCTATACTCTCAGCTCTCATTCGATAGAGGCAGGAGAATCAGAACTTGAAGGCCATCTTTAGATACAAAGCAAGTTCACTGGCAGCCTGGGACACATGAGACTGTCCCAAAACAACAACAACAAAAACAATATCTTGGATTGGAGGTTTAGTTCGGTGGTAGAGTGTTTGCCTAGTATTGGCAAGTCCCTGAGTTCAATCCCCAGTTTTAGAAATAGGAAGAAAGAAAAGACAAGAATAAAAATAATAAAAGAAAAGAAAAAGGGTCATGGAGATGGGTTAGCTGTGGGTAGGGCGTCTGTAGCTAAGCCTGCTGACCTGCGTTTAATCCCAAGGAGCCAAGGGACAGGAGAGAACCAACTCCCTCAGTTGTCCTCTGACTTCCACACATGTTGTGTGGCTCATTTATGCCCCCCCCCCCATAAATGAATGAATGAATAAATGAATACATGTGACAGTTAAAAGTAATTTTTCAAAGATAAATGTGTAGCATCTTGGTAGTTACATAAATTTCATTTCTCTTACTCTTCAGAATGAGTATCATTTCTAGGGATCATTTGTATTTTTTCTTTCGCATCATTTGCCCATTTTTCCTTTTCTTTTTTATTCTTCTTTCATACAATACATCCAGACCAGTTTCCCCTCCTCTTTTTCCCTCTTCTTCCTCCATTTCCCTTTAGAAAAGAGCAGGCCTCCCAGGGATATCAACTGAACATGGCATAACAAGCTATATAATACGACTAAGCACAAACTCTCATATCAGGGCTGGGTGAGGCAGCCCAGTAGGAAGAAAAGGATTCCAAGTATAGGTGATAGGGCCATTCCTACTCCTAGTGTTAGGAGTCCTACAAGAACACCAACCTATACAACCGTAACATATGCAGAGGACCTAGCACAGACCCATGCAAGCTCCATGGCTGCTGCTTCAGTCTCTCTGACTTTGTTTTTCCAGACAGGGCTTCACTGTATATAGCTTTGGCTGTCCTGTAACTCACTCTGTAGACCAGGCTGGCTTTGAACTCACGGAGATCTACCTGCCTCTGCCTCCCGAGTGCTTAGATTAAAGGCATGTGCCTCAGTCTCTTTTAGCCCCTATGAGCCCTGTTTATGTGATTCTGTGGGGCATGTTCTGGTTTCTCAACTGCAATTTTTCCTCTCCATCTTCTGTAAGTTTTCCCTAGTTCTGAGGGAAGCGACCTGATGGAGATCCTCAATTTGGGTTCTCTCTGCTCTGTGCCTAATGTTTCATTTGCCTCTTTTTCTAATGGGTTCTTTTCTTCCTTCTTTCCCTCCCTATCTCCCTCCATCCCTCCCTTCCTCTCTCCCTTCCTTCCTTTTTTGTTTTTCAAGACATAGTCTCTCTAGGTAACCCTGACTGTCCTGGAAGTCTGTAGACCAGGTTGGCCTCAGAGGTCTCCTGAGTGCTGGGATTAAAGGTGTGAGCCACCACCACTCTGCTTCTTCCCTTTTGCTTAATGAGCTTTCCACCTTTCTGTTATGAAATAGTCTGACAGTTTCCTGTCATTCCAAATAGAATGATTTGGGATCTTTACATTTCATCATTCTCATCTTGACGAAATTAAGAAACAGCTAACCAGACAGATAAAATGAAACCAGGTGTAAGCTGACTAAGTCCCTTGAGTCAGAATATTTAAGGAATGAAATGTTTACTCCTTCTCAGAAAATCTACCTTTGTGCTGGAACTAATTTAATTATGAACTAAAGCAGAAAGATGGGCATAAAGAGTGAGTGAACATCCCTCACTTGATCCTGGGCACTTCTCTTCCAAAAGCATGCCTGTTGTGCTCATCAAGGGATGCAACCCAGAGCAGCTGAAGCAAAAATATATTATGTAATAATATATAAATATAAAATAATATACTAAATGTATATATAATATATAAAATATAAATATATGTAGAATATATTTATATTATGTTTATATGTTAATTATAATATTTGTATATTATATAAATAACATATAAATATAAAAATATATATAATCTGGGGTTAGCAGGCTGTTCCATATACTGGGCAAGAGCCCAGCATTTCAGGAAGACCTGCATCTCCTTCTCTGTTCTAAGTCCAGACTTTGGGAGGGACACCAAGGCCACCTCACCCCAGCACTCCATGTGTACCAGTCAACAGCATCTGAGGAGGAGGCTATCTCTAGGGAAAAAATTCCTCTAGGGATCTCAGTAAATGTCCGTTCGAAATCCTGTTGTTCCAGGAGAGCCTAGACCGCTGCCATACAGGTGAGGTGATTTGGCTCCTCCCAGTATCTCTTACACAGGGCCAGTGTGAGGGTTAAATAGGTCTACGTCCCAACATGCTAGTTTTGTTGTTGTTGTTTGTTTAGGTTTTTTTTTTTCTTGTGGTGTTGTTGCTGCTTTTGAGTGCCTGGCCCTTTAAGTGATCCCCAGTTTCTCGTCAACTGGCCCTTTGGGAATTCTTAGCTGTTAGAACTGCTTGACTCTTACAATGTTCAGTGTTGGCTGCCTCTTGGACTTTTGGGAACAGAAGGATGGAAAAAAGGCCAGCAAAGCTGAGAGATTTAATAGGGCTAGAAAGTAGGGCTAGGTGAGAGAAGATAAGGCAGTTGGTGCAGAAAAGGGATTGATCCAGGAGAAGTCCAGCCAAGCAGAGAAGATATTGTTAGAATACAGTTAGGAGAAGAATCAACATCTGCTCAGCTCAGCGGCTCCTGGCTCAGTCTCTTCTCTGCCAAAGCTTGACTCTCATTCCCCAGTCAGGAAGCCCTGCTCAGCCAGTTGTGTTGGAGTCTTTTCTTCCCATGTGTAGACTTTTCTAGCACTTACCTGGTATACTTGATCTGAAGCTTTGATGACTTCCAGACTGAGCACACTGTTTTCCTAGTGCTTAGACTTGAATTTACAGTGCTTTCAGTAGTCATGAAGTCATGTCAAAAGGCCTCAGGATAGCCAGGAGGGAGTGGCAGTCGGGGGAGGGAGTGGCACACACCTTTAATACCAGCTCTCGGGAGGCAAAGGCCAATGGATCTCTGAGTTCTAGGCCAGCCTGGTCTACAGAGCTAGTTCCAGGATAGCAAGGGCTACACAGAAAAACCCTGTCTTAAGAGCCCCCCCCCCCCCAAAAAAAAAATAAAACAAGAAAAACACCTCAGGACAACTGGAAATACCCCCAGTGATCAGAGCTGGAACACTTTGAGCAACAGAGTAAACAACATTTAGATTATAACCAAAGCAGGAAATAAATACTCAAGAGTTCATGGTGCTATAAACATATACTTATCAGTAAACAAATGTTGGAAAATAGACAATTTTCTTATGCCGAAGAAGACCAAATAATTTATATCAATATTTCATTCTTGAAGAATGACTTATTTAGGGTTTCTGTTCCTGTGAAGAGACATCATGACCACAACAACTCTTATAAAGGAAACATTTAATGGGGGCTGGCTTAGAGTTCAGAGGTTTAGTCCATTATCAGCATGGCAGGAAACATGGCAGCATGCAGGCAGACCTGATGCTAGAGAGATAGCTGAGAGCTCTACATCCAGATTGGCATGCAGCAGGAAGAGACAGTGAGCCACTAGGCCTGGTTTGAGCTTCTCAAACCTCAAAGCCCACCCCTAATGACATACTTCCCCCAACAAGACCACACCTCTTGATAGAGTAGGAGCCATTTTTATTCAAACCTCTACACAGAAGTAGAATATTAACCTCCTACCCCTTAAGTGAAAAATGCACACTGTATACCTCTTTCTCAGGAGTTTGGCATAAAAAGGAAGGGAAAAGAGTCACTTTACGGTAGGTAAAAGTTACTCTACAGGGTGTCATGGTCAACATCCACAGTGATGGATTTTGTTCATAGTAGTGACTTTCCCATAGGGAACTGCTTCTCTCGTCTTCCTCCAACAAACCTGTAAGTCCAATCCAGTTATGAGCAAAACATCAAATGAATCTCAGTGGAGCCATGCCCTGTACTGTATCTGAGCAGCACCTTTGAACTAAGCAAACAAGGAATGCTGAGGAAATATGGCCCACGGGAGCCTCAGAAGACATGGCAACTAAATGCTGTGTGGAATCCTAAGCAGGCTTCTGGGACAGAAAAGGAATATTAAGGGAAACTAGAGAACTCTGAGGGAGTAGTGTGGACTTAGTTGGTGGTAATGTAAACATTAACTCAGGATTCCAGGCAAATGTTTTTGTTTCCCTGGCCAGTGCTAGTGAGTGAATTCAAGGCTTGTATGTGCCGAGAAAGCATTCTACCGCCAAGTTGTATCCCCAGCCCTAGCTCATTAACTCAAACAAATGCAGTATAGTAGTAGGGGAAACTGGTGACATATATAGGAGCACTGTACTGTCTTTGTAATCTTCCTGTAAATCAAAAACCTGTTCTGAAATTAGCAGTTTATTCTAAGCACATGACAGCTGCTATCTGGGAAAGTGGGGAAGAGGAAGGGCCACAGAGAAGAGTTGTAGTTCTGTAAATGCTTTTGAATAGTTTGGCACGGTGTGCTATTGCCTTTGAGCGCCAATTATTGCCAGCCTCTCTCAGACAGACAGCCACCAAGTAATGACACAGGGACTTTTTATTAATGCGAAAGCTAGGCCTTAGCTTAGGCTTATTCCCAACTACGTCGTATAACTTAAACTAACTTGTTTATATTAATCTACATTCTGCCGCGTGGCTCGATACCTCTCTCTAACAATCCATTTCAGCACCTGTTTCTTCGTCTGGCTGGCAAATCCCTTGACGGATTTTTTTTCCCAGAGTTCCTATCTCTGCTGGATGTCAATCTATCCTCTCCTGCTTTGCTCTAGACCATTCAGGTCTTTATTAAACCAAACAGAAGGTGATGGAGAAGATGTTTACAAAACACTGTGACAGGTGATGCTTCATAGGAATAGCAATACCAAAGTCCCAGCCTGTACTGAGCTCTCTGCAGGTACACAATCAACATTTGCATAATACAAAGACAACCTTTACACAGTGCACAAGAGAGTATCCTAACAGTGCACATGCAGTACAGTAATTTTTTGAATGAGGAATTGCCAGTGTTGTGCTACTCATTTATTGTGCACCTCCAACCAGTGGTTCTGGAAGCCTGTCTTCCTTTCACCTGTTGTTGGCCTCCTGCAGGTTGGGGTCCTGCTCTTGTGGAGACTGGACCAGCGAGGCCGAGTACAGGGGACACCACTCCTGAAACATGAGTACGGGAAACCACTCACTCATTGCATCTTCCGACTCCCCCCTCCTGGAGAGTAAGTATGAAGCCCCATGTGGTCCCTTATCTGTCCCTACATCCTGGGGGTGGGGTGTATGGCTCCTGACCCAGGTGGACCCAACCCCAAGTCATTCTAGGAATCTTGACTGCTGTATCCTTTACTCTCAGGGATCTGGTTCAGTTGGCAAAGGCAGCAGTAAGTGGGGATGAGAAAGCGCTGGACATGTTTAACTGGAGAAAAAGCAGCTTTGGAAGTTTCCTGAAGACGGGGTCTCAAGAGGGGCTGTCTTTCTTTGTCAGTCTGACGGATGGTGAGCAACTTGGATTGTAACTGTAGGAGCCAAAGAGTGTGAGGCGAGGCTTTTAGGCTGACAGTAGTACTTCTGTAAAATGAAGGGAGGCTGCAGTGCAGGTGTCTGGATGCTGGGATTCTTGAAGGCATTCCCCTGCTTAGATGGTGCTGTGCTCTAACACAGATGAGGGCAGGCCATCTTAATTCATGTTAAAGGGTTTTCCTAAAGAAATTTTGTTTTGTTTGGGGTTTTTGTTTGTTTTTTTATTTTGCTTTGTTTTGAGATTGTGTCTTCCTATGAAGCCTAGGCTTGCCTCCAGTTTATGATTCTCCTCCTGCCAAAATCTTCTGAATGTTGGGACTACAAACATATACTATTATACCCAGCTCATGTTTTTAGGGTTTTTGTTTGATTGATTGGTTTGTTAGTTCATTTTTTCCATTGGTTTTGGTTTGGTTTGGTTTGGTTTGGAGAGAGAAAGAGAGAGAATATGTGTGTGTGTTTGAGACAGGTTCTTACTATGTACCCCTGGTAGACCTGGGACATGCCATGTCTACCAGACTGATCTCAAACTTAAAGAGATCACTAGCTTCCAAGTGCTGAGTTTAAAGGCATACACTGCCACCACTACCACCCAGCACAGAGGTTATTATTAAGCCTCATCTGATGGTTGTATTTTTACATGGTTGTGGTCACCCTCCTGCCTCAGCTTCTTGAGGGTTGAGATTATAGCTGTGCTACCATGATAACTGACTGATGATTTTAATATTACTTGTTCTCAGTATAAGCAGGAGACAGGCCCAGGGTTGAAACAAATACACCCTGAAGCTAATGAGCAAGAGTAGCAGTCTGGTGTGGTACCTGGCAGAGGTGCAGGGAATGAGGAGTGATGTCTCTTACAGGAGGTGACTGGGTTTGAGAAGAGGGACTGCTAATGTAGGAAGAGGTCATGGGTTTTATAATTTCTGAATAGGAGAAACCTTTCATTTTAAAAGATAAAGAGATAGAGCCAGGTGAGAGGGGCAGTTGAGGATGTTCCAGAGGGGATATCCAAGTGGATGCATCACCATGGGGCAAAGAGAAGAGAATAGGAAGGAGAGCTGAGATGGAAGGAATGGTGCTGGTAGCCTGGAAGAGGATGTGCAGAGCTATGCAGGATGTAGATCTAGATATCTGCCTAATCCCCAGTATGTGGGCTTTAGGGTACAAGTTCTCCTGTGCACTTGTACCCACTGTGGAAGATGGGGGTTATATTTTTGTTTGCTGTCTTATTGTCTGTAAAAGACCCTGCTCCATAATCTCTGCTTATTCAATACTAATTGTTAAAATTAACTTAGATGACTTTGAACTTCCCACTTAACGAGAACTCAGGCTATCCATGAAGAACAAGATGAGACCAGAGGACAAGAAAGAGACCTGAGGAGGCTCCTGAAGAACTTCAGAAATGAGCCAGAGAATCTCGGGAACTCACTCATCACTCAGACACCTAAGAAGAAGCAAAGGAGGCAGACCAGATGTTGCTGGCCAGTGTTGAAGTGGTAGTTCAGGGCAGGGCAGGAAGCAGAGGAGTCTAGGTGCGGGGAAAGGCCTGCTACAGTACCACTGCCTCTTGAGGTTTAGATGCTTAAGGAGCATCTTATGGAAAATAATGGCAAATTATATGCCTAATGACATGAGGTCTAAGGGACAGAGAGAAGAGTCATCATTTATAAATACCCCAAAAGAAGGCTAGAGAAATGGCTTAGTAGTTAAAAACCTCTTCCAGAGGTCCTGAGTTCAATTTTAGCAACTGCATGGCAGCTTACAACCATCTATAATGTGATCCAGTGCTCTATTCTGGTGTGCAAACATGCATGCAAACAAAATGCCTGTATATATAAAATACATAAACAAATAAATCTTTAGGGCTGGAGAGATGGCTCAGCGATTAAGAACTCAGGTTTGACTCTGAGTATCCTCATGGTGGCACACAACCATCTATTATAACTCCAGTCCCAGGAGATCTGATGACCTCTGGGCAGAGCATGCATGTGGTACACATACATACACTCAAGCAAAACGTACATACATAAAATAAAAATAAATAAAAGTAAAAAAATATACCTAAAGATAGTGAGTAGAGATGATGGAACAGTTGCAAGGCTATAGAATCAGATGGTCTGGATACTAATTGATAATCATCCAGGAGAGTATGGAGAAGGAATCCACAGAGACAGCTAGCCTAGCCAGTAAAACAGGACATTTCAGAGTTGGTAGCCTGAGAAACATTGCAGCAAATGTCTTAAGTTCTTATAAAGACGATAGATGTATTGTCAGAGTATCCTTAAGGAGATAGAAATGGTTGCTCATGGGTATCCTGGAGAGACAGATGAGCTAGGAGCCACCTCTTTCCCTAGGGACAGTGCACTATGTGGATGAAAAAGGCAAGACTGCCCAGGTGGCATTCACAGACAGCTCCATCCAGACATTGTTCTACATTGAGAAGAGAGAAGCTCTGGTTGTGGTTACACAGAATCTTCTCCTGTCTCTATATGTGGTGACTCCTGATGGGGAATTCGAAGAAGTGATGAAGGTAGGTGAAAGAGCAGGGTGATGGCTAACCTGGCTGCTGGATTATGCTCAACACCCGAGACCAGGTTTTCTTGCCTGCTTTGCCTGTCTTTTCAATCTTGGTTAGCAAGACTGAAGAGCTGTCATTTGCAAGAAAGAGCAGCTAACCCATCTATTCAGTGCCACATTTCACTCTTGGCCCTTTGGTGTAAGTGAGGAAAAGGAAAGATTTCCAGTATTTCTGGACAGGTATGAAGAGGATCAGGGTTACCTAGGCTTGCTCCCGATCTGTGCCTTTCTCGATTAGAGAATTCACCATCTGCATCTCATTGGACTTCCACAACAGAGCTGGATAGAACAGGAGGCATTGTTCCCACTTTCCAGCTATATGAAAGTATTCTGAGGAGGCTTGTTTATTGGCCCAGAGCTGGAGGTGGCATTGCCCAGTGTCTGTTACAATGGCCCTTCTGCAACATGGTCTTTCAAATCTTCTGTTTGCCACCATAGGCATTTATGTTATTTTATACAGTGAGCAAATGCGAGTTATCTTGGCTGAACTGTAATAAGATACCGGGATGTCCATGAAAGATAGAGCTCTGAAATACTCTGCATGTCTAAGGGGTCCACTACGAAATCATCCAGTGCCACATGCTCCTCAATAAAGGTCACTTGTGTTCCCTGTACAGGTCATTTGAGAGCACTGCTGCTTGCTGCCCCTATTAATCTTTTGCTTCCATTAAGCGTATGTGTTTTGCCCAGCTGCTTTCTTGGTTTATAAGAATCTATGTCAATAGAGAATCCTGAACTGTCCCTAAAGATATTCCTCTAGATTAGAGAGCTCACTGTATCCTCTAACAGTAGCTGTGGTAGTCCTTGGGTTGCATGGACCTGGTGTCTTAGCTTGAGCCAAGTTGACAATAGGCACTTAATATATATTTACTATAATAGGCATTTCTCACTGGTTGTCAGGCTCTAGGAAATGTTGCTTTCTGCACAAAATGAGGGTGGGAGACCTTCCCTAAAATACAGTCAAGACAGAACAAGCAGTTCCCGTCCTGCTTAGTATTCATCTAGAAATGCCCATTGTGCCCTAGGTTAGACATCACTTCATGTTTAAGTTGCTGTTTGCTTTAAGCTGTACATTTTGAAATATCTTTTTAGAATTTTTTATGTGGATAGGTGCACCTGCATGCATGCATGTGTATGTGCCATGAGTGTGCCTGGTGCCCACTGAGGTCTGAAGAAGTTGTTGGATCCCCTGGGACTGGAGTTGCAGACAGTTGTAAACAGCCATGCGGGTACAAGTGCTGAGAATCAAACCCTGGTCCTCTGGAAGAGCAGTCAGTGCTGTTAGCTGCTGAGCCATCTCTCCAGCCCAACCCCTTAAAAAACAAGGCCAACTCTCCAGTTCTACTATTTGTGGTCGACCTTGGAGAGTCTCAGTGATGTCCCTGAAGACCACATGCCTGGCTAACACAGTTTCCTCAGTCACCTCAGAAAGAACCGATGCTTCTTTCAAGTTGCTTTTTTCGTCATGCAGGTAAAGTTGAGTGGGAAAACAGGGCGCCGGGCAGACATCACTTTGATAGAGGGCAGCCTTCTTGTGACAGCTATCGGGGAACCAGTGCTCAGGTGAGAGCTTGTCTTCCCATATAGGCCTCTGGAAAATTCTGTCAGGAACAGACTCTTTAATATACACACAGAAAATGCACATTGTGGTGAATTTTCACATACTAGACAGGTCTATGTAACTAAACACTGGAGGCCCTAGGAGTCCTCACCTACTCAGCTGTCCTTCCTGCTTTTCCCATGCCTTCAGATAAGATGACTATGATATCTGCCCTCACAGTCACTTTGCCTTGTTTGGAAGAAATTTGTTTTCGACATAGGGTTTTGTTGCTGCTGTTATGCTGGTCTCCAGCAATGCTCCTTTCTACCTCTTCCTCTCAAGTAACTAGGACTACAGATGTGTACTGCCAAACCTAGTTCTGTATGGTTTCTTAAGATTTTTAGTATTTTTAGCATTTTAGTATCGTTTTAGCCACTCCGTTCAACATAATGTTCACTTTTGCCTCATGGAGCTGGGATTCCTATGTTCTCTTCCTATAACGTCACATATAAACTGTTAGTAACCACCCTTTTGAATTGTAAACAGTATAACATCAAGCTCACTTTTGTACTAGGCGTCTGTAGCACACATCTCTGAGTTTTCTTCCCAGGCCTGATACAGCCCTCAGATCAGAGGAGGGTACTAATAATAACCTTCCTAGTGTTTTCCTCTTTCTTTTTCAGGTTCTGGGATTTAGAAAGAGGAGAGAATTACATACTGAGTCCACAGGAGAAGTTTGGCTTTGAGAAGGGAGAGAATATAAACTGTGTTTGTTTCTGTAAAGCCAAAGGTGAGATTTCTTAGTCTGACATAAAAAAGATAGAAACAGCTGGACATGGTGGTGCACACCCTTAATTCCAGCACTCAGGAGGCAGAGGCAGGCGGATCTCTTCGAGTTTGAGTGCAGCCTGGTCTACAAAGTGAGTCTAGCACAGCCGGGGTGTTACACAGAGAAAACCTGTTTCAAAAAAACAAAAAGAAAGAGAAGAAGAAAAGAAAAGAATGAAAACAATTTTAAGCATTGTGCAGGGAAAAAAAATTTATAATAGAATTCAGAGCCTTTTCAAAAATTGGAAGCTGGGTACGGTAGCATAGACCTTTAATTCCAGTACTCAGAAGGCAGAGGCAGGTAGATCTCTGTGAGTTCAAAGCCAGCCTGGTCTATATTGTGAGTTCCAGGACAGCCAGGGCTACACAGAGAAACCCTTTCTTGATAAAAAACAAAGAAAGAAAAGAAGAAGGAGAAACGAAAGAAAAAAAGAGAATGAATGAAAGAAAAAGAAAGAGAGGAAAGAGAGAAAAATTATGAGTTAGGCAAATATGATCAAGTAACAATAAAGCTTTCGTATTTCACATAATGTTCAAACGATTTGTCCAAAAGAGTGATACTAACATTATACGTATTGGCCTGTACCTTCCTGAAATGGTATGGTAGTGTTTGTACACTAGGGAAAGTATACTAATACATGAGAGTGCAAATCCCAAGGACAGAAAGTTAGGAGAGGAACTAGAGTGTTGCTGAGTACTCAGTACTAGTGGAGCATTGGGAAGTACCTGGAGTGAGGCAGATGGACACAGAGAACAGTACTCACCACCACCTTTTAAGTCTTCTAACTCAGTTAATGTGCTATGCTTTTACCTGCAGGCCTTCTGGCAGCTGGTACCAATAAAGGGCGAGTAGCTATGTGGAAAAAAGTACCAAACTTCCCAAGTGGCCGGGGGGTAGAGGGCAAGGACATGTGGGCCCTTCAAACACCTACTGAGCTTGATGGAAACATCACACAAATAAAGGTACAGTATACAGCTCTATTATCACATTTGATGCACTCGTGTGCTGTACCAAATAGAGAACACGATTAACTTGGAACCTAGTCTATCGGTTATTCAATTTAGCATCAGAAAAATAGCACTAACAAGAAATTATATAGGTATGTAATCCCAATACCTAGGAACCTGAGACATGTGGATCTTGAGTTCTAGGTTAGCCTGGGTTATATGATAAGACCCTGTCTCAAAAACAAAACAAGAAAACAAAAAAACAGAGAAGGGATTGTGGCTGCATATTAATATCTGTTGATCTACTTACCAATTCCTCTGTTTCTGCCTATATATATATGTATTCATATGTAAATATGTTTAAAACAGCCTTACTAAGATACAAGTTACAGAACCAATGATTTTTAGTATATTCATAGAGTTTTGCCAGCTTTTACCACAATGTTTTCTTTACAACAAATGTTAGGATACATTAATTACTCTAAAAAGAAATCCATACCCCTCCTCCACTTCTCTTTCTCGAGCCTTCCACAGCCAGTAACGCACCTTGTGACTCTGTAGATTTGTGTGCTCTGGACATTTCATAAAAATTTGAAGCATATAACTAGGCATACTGGCACTCACCTTTAATCCCAGCATTTAGGAGGCAGAGGCAAGTGGATCTCTGTGGGTTCCAAGGCAGTCAGGGGCTATGAAGGGAGACCTTGTCTCAAAAAACAAAAAACTAACAATCAAAAAAACCCCAACAAAATAAATAGATAAAGAAGTCAACAAATGGAAGCACATCATGTCATGTTTTGTGACTTCTTTCGCTGACTTCTTCCTTCATGTCACGGCAGGTGTCAGGGCTCCTTTCTATGGCTGAGTACTCTGTTGTATGGGTAGACCACAGTATTTCTGTTAATCGGCTGATGGCGATTTGGGTTGTTTCCACTTGTGGGCTGTTATGAATGAAGCTGCTCTGAAAGTGCATGTACAGGTTTTTGAATATGCTTCATTTCTTGGGAGCAGTTTGTCTTTAATTTGTCACTTTTTGGCACTCTATCTTGTAGCGTTCTTTTTTAAAAATTCTCCTTTATTTGGGGTGTTTAGACCTCTACCAACCCCATCAACCCTAAATAGGAGAGAGAAAAGGTTAGTGGAGAGACAGGCCCCAGACCCCTTTACTTCTCCCAGCTATTTAGGCCAAGGGGCTCTTTTAAAGCTCTATACCAATCTCTCCATACCCTGAAGCATTTCTCTCCATCTGTCTACTCCAAACTGCCACACTGTCTCTGGCCTCTGGTCTCTCCAAACGGCTACACTCCACACGCCACCCCTTCTCTTTCTCTGCTCTCATATTTATACTCTCAGAGTCCTAGACTACGCCCTCTGTGCCCCATGTGGAAGGCTATTACCAGCTGGCAAAAGCCACACTCCAAACAAGACAACAATAGGTGTGGACAACTATAACCCATCCAAAATCCCATACTTGGGAATAAAACAAAAGCATACTTACATAACATACAAAGAAACCAAAACTTCCGTTACACTGTCTGACGAGACGGGTATTCCAATAGGGTACTTATGGTGATGACCATGGTTATAGCCTCTGGGAAGTCTATCCAACATCAGTCAACTGATCCTTTCACAGATATTTCTGATCCCTCCTTTTTGGCCATATTCTGATCTTTTTCATGGCTTTTAATTATTTGTTGAGAACTGAACATTTCAAATAGACTTGAAGCAAGTAAAGCAGCATTTCTCACCAGCAGAAGAAAGCTGAATAATTTAATGATATAAATTTCTTATACATTCATATAAAATAAGATATGTGAATGTGTCATAATCAGAATGAGAAATTCCCAGCAGGTGTCCTGCAGTTAGAGCAAACCTAGATAGAACAGCCCCATAAATGTCTTCCTGCCAATTCACAACTTGTGTCTATCAGTATTTTAAAATTTTTCTACAAGTACATATTTTTACCTTTTTAAAAGTTTTTAGGTTGTTTTTTAAATAACAAGAAGTGGCTTATGGACTCTGATAGGGAACATTTATATACTTCCTGACTGTGTCTCTCCTGCTTTATTTGTGCATTTGATTCTCCCTCCATGATACTGAAGTGGGGCTCCAGGAAGAACCTTCTGGCAGTGAGCAGCGCTGACTCTGTGTCCATCCTCAGTGAACAAGCTATGTCATCGCACTTCCACCAGCAAGTAGCTGCCGTGCAAATCTCCCCAAGCTTAGTCAATGTGTCTTTCTTGTCCACGGGGGCCACACACAGCCTGCGGACTGACATGCACATCAGTGGTGTATTCACCACCAAGGTGACTACTGAGGATGGCCTCTGGGTTTTAGATAAGGATCTTCAATGTAGAAAAAAAGTTCCGCCTGCAGGGTCATTCAGAACAGCAAGGGGACTTGGTGACAGCTTAAGCCATTCTCATTTCCACCCTGGATTATTATCCTGAATGTTCATGTGTGCCATGTTTATAAAGAAAATACTAAAAACCCACAGGCATTTTAGGTCTAACCTGCATCCATGGAAAACTCAGTGACCTGAAATTAGGCTGACAGCATATTGTCACTCAGTGATGCAGGCAGAGGGCAAGCTTTGGAAATGTGTTGTGGGTCTATGGTCTGCATCGTACTCTTCCTTACCTCTGTTTTGGATATGCATGTTCATTTAGGATGCTGTGGCTGTCTGGAATGGAAAACAGGTGGCGATCTTTGAACCTTCAGGATCCACCTTAAGGAATGCAGGTTAGAATCTCTTCACCCCAGAGAGGGCTCCACACCTCTGCTGTTGCCTCACCTTCTAATTCAGGGTAAAGGGACTAGCCCAGAGCTAGCTGAACCCTCGTGCCAGCTCTCATTCCAGTCCCTGAATTACTAATGCTGCAGCTCTGGCACCGGCTGCCAGGGCTCCCTGGGCTGCATCCTGTGAAGTGTTGGAATGTTTGAAAAGTACAGTGAGACTCAGTGAGCAAATCCTCCTGAGCTGCAGACCACCTAAGGAGGCTACATGGTCATAAGCAGTTTAGTTCCTTTTAAGAAAGAGGACTACTGCACAAGTGTCTTCTGAAATGATTCTACGCCATAGCCGTGAGCCACAGGTGGATCTTCACAGATGAGCAGTCTCAGATCTGAGCCATCCATGCATGTCACCACTTTCTCTAGCTTTCTCTGTTTAATTTGGCTGCCTTTTCCTCCACACACCTGTATGAATTTCATAATGCTGCTGTAAGAAATTACTACATGTTGAGGGCTTAAAACTATAGGAATTTATTCTCTTACGGTTTCAATGGCCAGAAGTCCAAATTCTAGTAAACAGGGCCATACTCCCTTGAATCCTCAAAGGGAAAGTCTATTTGGTTTTTCTAGCTTCTGGCTGCTATCCTCCTTGGTTTATGGTCACAGAGCTCCAATCTTTGGTTCTGTTGCCACACTGACCCTATCTTCTATTCCTCTTCATAGGGACACGTAGCTATGTTTTGGGCCTACCTGAACAGTCCAGAATAACCTTTCCTTTGAGACTTTAGCTTCTATTGTCATAGGTAATAGTCTTCACAAACCTTAGGATTTGGAGCACAAATCTTCTGGCACTGTCTTACAGCCTCCTGATTACCTATTCTTTGGGATGTGATTCTCCCTACCCCTCAACTTACCTGTAAAACCTTCCTGGCCTCACCATCTCACCTTTGAGATCTCTTAACTCTTAGGAGACTTACAGTTCTGTCTAAGAGTGATCCTCCCTGGATATTTCCACTGGTCATTTCACTTTCTCATATCTTTTTCACTCACATTTTATCTTCCTTAACACTTTATATGGGGTGGGAGTAGGGGTCTCTGTGACCACTGTAGCACAGGAGGCAAGAAGATAGTTCAGGTCAACACAACTCAGTAGCCAGTGTTGGCTTGATCTTTACAAGTCTGACCCCAGGTAGTTTATTTTCAGCATATTTAAGCACAGTACAATTTCATGAACATTTTTTTGAGTATAATGAACTCAATCCTATGTGTACAATAAAACTTAAGTCATGACTACATCAAAACTCTTTGTAAAGTGCATGTGACATTTGTCATAAAGATAGGTTTTTTAGATTGACTTCATGTGATACCTTCCATGTTCTCTAGATTGACAGGCTCACAGTAAAGATCTGGGGGAGGATCCAGTGTAGTCCAGGCTACACAGATAGTGCAAAGATCACCAGGTTATTAACCACATTTGCGCCCAGCCTTCTGGGTAGAAAACAGGTTATATACATCTCTCCCTTTGAAAGGACAACCATGCATGTTTATTCCTGGTTCCCCTGATACTTATCTATGAGTGCAAGAACCTTTGTGTCTCCCACAACATTATTGTCTGAAGTTCTCAGGTAGCTAATATTGTCATACTATCTGTACTGTACAATAATTCACACACCACCTCTCCTGATTGGTATGAGTCCCAAGAAGCAAGGATGAGCTCCTTTATCTTGGTGTTGACCCATACAGCTAATATTTCTTCTGTTTTGTGTGTGTTGTCACCTCTGTGACTAATATGCTCCTTAGCACCTTTGACTGGGGCACGGAGCCTCCAAAGTGCTTCATGATGTGGCCAGGTGCTTAATCAGTCATGCTGATGTTGTGCTGCAAGAAAAACCTTCAGCCAGAGGAAGAAGAAATAAGGATAGTGAGCAGGGTGGGTGGGCATGTTGATTCCCCCAAATCAGGCCTACGGCCCTAGGAGTTCCCTACATAGTTCCCTACATTCAGAGCAGATGTTACTTTGTGTCTATTGCTTCTTATTTCTTTATTGTATTTTCTTGGTTCTTGGTTTTAAATTTTTAGTGTTTTTGCTGTTGCTGTTATTGTTTCTTTTCTTTTTAATTCTGGAACTTTGTTCTGCTCATCTACAAGGTTCAGGTAAGATTTCTCCTAGAGTTACCATGAGGACCAAGCTGACTGGGGATTCTATGCAAGGCACTTCTGCCATGCTGCTGCTCTTTTGATGCTCATCTTTCATTTCAGGGACATTCCTGTGTGAAACATCAGTGTTAGCAATGCACGAGGAAAGCATTTATACAGTGGAGCCAAACCGAGTTCAAGTACGAACCTGGCAGGTGAGTGATTCTGACAGTGAGTGTGGTGATCAAGTTACAACCAAGTTGAAAATGCTGTCTCGTGTTCTAAGTCCTATTTTTCCATCAGGTGGCTCACTGGAAAATATGTGTTCCGGGGTAGCCTACCCATCCACGGCTGTGACCTCTGAAATGGGGAGTCAGGGTTAGAAGCTTTTTCAGGGAAAAGGTTCGTTTCACTGCACCTTTACTACACAAGACTATGAAATGTGAGGAAGTGCTTGTTTTTTTAACATACATCCTGAAGGCTTTGTGCTATCTGTTGAGCACAAAGATATTTCTAGATGAGCCATTCCCATACATGTGAATGAGAGTGAAGCCATGAAGGGAGCAGGGCTGGCTTCTTATGGTGACAGGCCTCCAGCCCAGTGTCTGTGTCAGCTATTGTCCCTGTCTGTATCCCTATGTGACTTTCGAGAGCCTGGGACCAACATGATACTAACTTGCTATGGCTGCTGCAACAAATTTCCACAAAACAGTGGCTTAATGGAACAGAAATTTTTTCTCTAACAGTTCTGGAAATCAAATCCTGAATCTAGGTTGGTCAGAATGCGTTCCTTCAGAAAGCTTTGCCAGGGAATCTGCTCTCCCTCTCTCAGTTTCCAGGAGCTGGTGGTGCTGCCAATCCCTGGGCTTGCAGAGGTTGCCCTATACTCTGATCTCTTCTTCACATGGCATCTTTCTATATCTGTGTCTTCTCTTGATGTCTGATAAAAACACTTTCAGAGGTTGGAAAGACGGCTTGCCAGTGAAGAGTGCTTATTCTTACAGAGGGCTGGATTCTGTTCCTAGCACCCATGTGGTGGCTCCAGTTCCAGGGCATCTGATACTCTCTTCTGATCTCTAAAGGAGACCCAAGGCATGTATATGGGATGCAGACATACATGTGATTAAAACATGCATACACATAAAATAAATAAAGTCTTAAAAAATAGAACACTTTGACTAGGATATACAGTTCAGTGGTGGGCTGTGTGCTTAATATAGAGGGGCCCAGGCTTCCATCCGGAGCACAGAAAACAGAATCACTTGTCAGTGGGTGTAGGCCTCAGAATGATTTCATCTAAAATTCTTAGATCTGGGAGTATGGATTAGTACAGTGTCTAGATTGGACTTACCCCTAAAGTATATCCTCAGAATGATAAAAATAAGCAAATCCTTTATTTACTTACCTCTACAAAGACTCTTTTATAGTAGGGTTTCAAGAAAAGAGGTCTTTGGAAAGGCAACTATTCAACCCATTATGTGAAGCAACATTCTATGACAAGCTTGAGGGCCTGTTGTAGCCAGTTTGATACTTTGTGGGCTCTTTTCCCAGCCTTTATCCCCTCATCACTAGATAGGAAAAAAGGATAGAAGAGAGAGAGAGAGAGAGAGAGAGACTCCTAAATCTAATTTTCTTCCTTCTGTTTGTTCTGTGAGCGTGACTACTAACAAACCACAATCAACCTCCCTGAAGTACCAACATCCACCCACATTCCCTCTCGGAATAGCATTTATTTATTCTCTAAAAAGTTCCCAGAATTCCAGATGTCACACAATTGCAGGAACTATCTGCAGCTGGCAAAATTATGTCTCTGCTAGAACATGAGGCAAATCATAGTTTGCTGCTTCAGACAGTCTGAAACAGCCACATATCCCCATGCCTGGCATTAAAACAAAGGTATATCTTATAATATTTCTGTGTTTATTAAAGAAACGAAAATTCCAGAATTGTCACTATAGCCTCTCGTTTTATCTATCAAGTGAGTGTGTGTGCATGTATGCACGAGAAAGGAAGGAAAGAGAATAAAGGAAAGAAGTGTTATGTATGTACACACATACATGGTATACATGTCGTAAGAGTACAACATTTGGTATTCATCTTCTGGCTCCTTCAACATTTTGTATGAGACAAGGTCTCTTGTTGACCTTGATGTCACCACATATGCCGGGCTAACTGGCCCACCAGCTTCCAAGCATCTGTCGGACTCCGTCTCCCATCTCACCATCACTGAGATTCAGGGGCATGCCATCATGCCTGGATTTATGTGGGTTGAGGATCCAAACTCAGATCCTCATGCTTGCAACATTAGCACTTTTCCATTGTGCCATCTCCCCAGCCCTGGTTTGATTTTTTTAAACTTTATTCTTCTCTTATACAATACACTCAACTGCAGCCTCCCCTCCTAGTTCTCCTCCACCTCTTTTCCCTCAGATCCACTTGCTGCTCCGTTTCCCTTCAGTGGTTTTTATGTGGAACCCAGTGTGCTTCACTGGACTTGCCACACCCATGATCTTGTACCTCACATGATGTTCATCCAGGCCCCTGGCATACGGTTGTTACTACTAGGTATCAGGCAGTCAGCAAACAAGACAATAGTAAGTGCCTCAGTGAAAACAGAAGTGAGAAGGGTCAGGAAGAACCTAGTTTCCTGGGAAGAAGAAATGGGTGCTAATATAGAACTTAGGAGGCTGTGTTTTTGTAGTGGCAATTCGGGAATTTTGGTTTCTTTAAAAACAGAAAAATATTATAAGAATGTGCTTTCATTTTAATCCCAGGTGTAGGGCTGCTTTGGACTGTTTGCAGCAACTGACTATCATTTGCCTCATGCTCTAGCAGAGGTGTTGTTTTGCCACCTGCAGATAGTGTCTGTGATTTTTGGAATTCTGGGAACTTTTCAGAAAGTATACAAATGCTAGAGCTCTGATAGTTGTGAATTGTGGGGAGCTGTTAGTCATTTAGGGAGATTGGTTGTGGTTTAATAGCTGTGGTCAAAGAAGAAACTAGAAAGAAATTAGATTCAGGAATTTTTCTAATTCCTCTCTCCCCTCTGTCCTTCTTTTTTATCGAATGTTAGGTAGTAAAACTGGGGGAATAAACGGTGGGAAAAAGAAAGACCCCCAAAATAGTTAGACCAGCCACAACTGGCACCTTAACATGGGGCTTTAAAGCAAAGGATAAAAATGGGAACTATGATTTCAAATGCCAGAGGAAACAACAGGGGGTGACAGAATGCATTTTTTTTTTTTTTCAAGAAGCCTGCAAAAGTTTATTGCAGCTGCTGCGGCTGAAATATTCTTCACTTTGCTTCCCAGAGGTGGGGTATATTTTTTTCTTTTTTCTCTTTGTGTATTTTGTTTCAAAAAGGTTTGAATAACTGGCTGAGAACTTGGAAAAAAAATGTGGGTGAAAATGGAGGTGCCTGAGAAACAAACAAAGAAACAAATCTGAAATGGGAAAACAAAAGGGGTCACTCTACTGTCTCTTCTCTGAAAGAGTTTCAGAATTGGTTGTGCAACTGGAAAGGTTGCGGGTGGAAGAGGAAACACTTGGGAAATGAGGAGCACCAGAAAAGAAAAAATAAAAATGCTCAGTCCTGGTGACTGAGCAAGAGAGTGGGAGGATGGTCGAGTCAGAGAAAAACTGAAAAAAATTAGAGGACAATCTGATGAAAAGCCCATTTCGAGAGTAAGGGTTAATCTTGAACCAACCACACCACCAGAATTAGATGAGGGACAGCCTGGGATTAAGAAGTCACCATCAATTTTCGCAGTAGTCATACAGCATTTGTCTGCTAACGGTGTGGAACAAGGTTATGACAAGAGGTCATGTTTTCCTATGGGATGCACTTGCCTTATGTGAAACAAATTCTAAATAACTGAGCTACTCAAAATTGGCCACTGACTCAAAAAGCAATTATTTCTTTGTAAATATCTCTGTTTATAATTTCCCACTATACCCAGCACAATTAGTGGCTTCAAACAGAAGGGGGAAATGTAGTGATAATTCTGGAATTTTGGTTTTGTTAAAAATACAGAAATATTGTAAGAAGAGCTTTCATTTTGCTCCCAGGCATGGGGGTATGGAGCTGCTTCGGACTTAATGCAGCATCTGACTATGATTTGCCTCGTGCTCTACCAGAGGTGTGTATTTGCCAGCTGCAGGTAGTTTCTGCGATTCCATGATGTCTGCAATTCTGGAAATTTTTCAGAGGATATATATATAAATGCTAGGGCGCCGAGACGCAGTGTGGGTAGATGTTAGTCATTCAAGAAGGTTGCTTGCTTGTTAGTCACGCTGCTAACAAAAAAGAAACAAAAGGAAAGAAATTAGATTCAGGTATCTATCTCTATCCTTCTTTTCTAGCTAGTTACAGGGAGTGAAACTGCTGTGCAGGAAATTGGAAGCAGTATTAAGGAGCCAATCTGTAGGAACAATAACTGGCTTGGAGTTGGATCCTCTCCCCCCTCCTTCTCCTCCTTTTTTTTTAAATTTTTTTTTTTTTTATTTTGGGTACAGTGTTTAGATAGAACCCATACCTCATGCACACACTATACACTAAGCCACAATTCCAGCCTCTCTGCCATTTTTATATTTTAGAAATTGTGTGTGTTGGTTGTGGCCAGTGAGGAAATGCTAGTGGTCTCTCTCAGATTCCCACTGAACATCTGGCATGTCTTTCTAGACCCTTATCTCTCTTCAGGAGGTAGACTGGTGTGGCTCTGTTATGGTCTGGTTCAGTAAGAAGGTGACTGCCAATACTTCCTTTCCATTTTATGCACCATTATCTTTAGAGAAGGTTATGGTATAGGTCATATACAGTCAAGGCTGAAGCTAGAACCCTGGGTAAACGGAAGTGAGGCAGTGGTTGCTGATGTGGATATCTATAGTAATAGGATAGATTTTGGGTTGCCTCATCTTGGTTTTGTGTTGGTTTTCATTAGAATATAACTTCTCAAGAAAAACAAAGATGGGGTGGCTCCTGGCACCTGACACAGAGCTCAGAAGAGTCTGAGAGACCCGTGGAGGCTCCGAAGGGTATCGCAGAGGTAGGAAAGGAGTCTGCAGAGCCTTCAGTAGTTCTGGAATAGCTAAAGGAGAAAAGACAAAAGGGCAAGTCTTATGGAAAGATGCTTAAAAAAAAAGTGGACTCACAAAATTGTAAAGAATGATGGAGCCATGAGTAGCAAAAAATGACAAATATACCACCGTGTCCCAGCAGGCTATAAGCACAGAGGTCATGAAAGATGAGCCTGGGGCTGAAGGTACAGATGACAGGGAGATGTGAGGCAGCCTGGAGCTTCCACAGAAACAGGTCATTATTGACTAGGGCTGGACCATCCCATAGCATGAAGCTGCAGCCTGTGCTGCTTGCCCTGCTGGGAGACAGAAGGCACAGTCTGAAACCTGCAAGCACAATAGTTATGTCCAGTGGCTGGCACCTAAGACAAGGTAGTTTGCAACAGCCTCAAGCTCCATTAGAAACATACCATTACTGAATGGGGCTGGCCCTAGGTTCACCCTCTGTTCAGCCCCAGACTTGAAGCTGCTGCTGCTGCAGCCTGTGCTGCTTGCCTTGCTGGTAGATGGAGAGTATGGGGCAGTAGTGCTGCCTACAGTCTACAAGCTCAAAAGTTGACCCAAGAGGGCCTCAGGGTGGTAGGCATTGAGGGCAGGGAGATGTGTGGCAGCCAGAAGCTTGCATAGAACCTTCCCCCAGGCACCCTATCTAGCTGCAACATCATCCTGACTCTGGGCAACAAGAGGATATCCAAGATGATCTCAGCAATGGTCCAGTATGGTATATTAGAAACTCTGAAACCTTGAAACAAACCAAATACTCGTTGCAATAGTATTTGCATGTAAAGCTGTTTGGGCAAAAAAGAAAGTGTGTGTGTGTGTGTGTGTGTGTGTGTGTGTGTGTATGTATACACACATACATACTTACTATGTGACATTCTGCAGTTTCCAGTGCCACTATGATAAATGAAGGTGCAATGGAGGGTTAGGAAAAATGGAGGAATGATGTAACTGTGAATGTGCAGTGGAGAGAGGTGGAACTAAAGATGTGAAAACAGTGACAGGTGTGAGAAAGGCTGCTGTAGACAGAGGAACATGTTCCTACTGAGTAGGGCTGACAGGTGGCAACCTGGAGCTTGTGCAGATTCAGCCCTGAACATGCTCTGCCATTGTGCAATTGCCCTGGCTCTGAGCAATGTCAGGATGTCTGAGATAAAGAACAGTTTATTTTCTGGATTGGAAAAAAACACCTTTATGGTCCTTACTGCCCCTGGAGGCCATGTTGTTATCTATAGTCCGCTGCTGAAGGCTGTGTTGAAGACTGAAGTTCATATAGATGTCTGTGGTCCTACAGCAGCTGATGTTTATGGCCCATGTTTCCACCAAGGGCCATGTGGATGTCTGTGACCTGTGCCACTGCCTGATGTCCTTGGGCTGTGCTGCTGCCAGGGGCCTTTTGATGTGGGTAGCCTGTGCTGCCATTGAGGACCATGATGGGGTCCATGGCACAGGGCTGTGCTGATGTCCATGGTCTGCACTGCCAGAGGAGACCACGCCGAGGTCTGTGGTATGTGCTGATGCTGTGACCATGTGGGTGCCCATGATCTGTGCTCCCACTGACTGCAAAGGGCGAGGACACTACTTTTGCTGTGGTATCTCTGCAGACTCAAAAAGTTGAGAATGAAGGACATAAAAGGCTTCTATGGCAACCTTAACCCCATCCCCCTTCCCAAAATGTAGCACTCTGGACAGAAAACCATCAAAAAGAACTCTTAAAAGCTGTGATAAGGGTGCTGAAGTGAGCTCTCCACAATTGAAGGCTTCTGATGGGTCCAGGTGGGGAACGATGACGTTTTCGATAAGGTGTTGGCCACTGAGAGTTTGACCATGATTCAGGAAGTATAAGGACAACACAAACTGGACTTGAGGTTTGTTTTGTTTTTTTAAATTTTGGATTTTTCCAAACAAGGAGTCTCTGTGTAGCCTTGCCATTGTGAAACTCGATCTGTAGACCAGGATGTGTAACCAGTGTTTACTACTTGATGGGTTCTTTCTTCCCCTTATCTCCACCCCTTTTCTTCTTCCCTTTCAACCCCCTAACACTAGATAAGACAGAAAAAGAGATAGAGAGGAAAGGTCAGAGTTCAGAAACGAGGCAAATTTTTGTTAGACTGTTTTCTATTGATGTTTGGTTTCAGGATATCTAATTTCTTCTTGTTCTTTACACACGACTACTTAACAAACTGTGACCAACCGCAACCAACAACCAATAAACCACCCCATGTCTCTCAGGGCCCCAACATTTATATACTCTCTGAAAAGGCCCCAGAATTCCAACTGTCACACAATTCCAGAAACTATCTGTAGCTGGCAAAACTGTCTTCCTGCCAGAGCACAAGGCAAACATAGTCAGCTGCTGCAAAGCAGCCCCATGTCTCCACACCTGGGATTAAAACAAAAACATGTTCTTAAACTATTTTGGTTTGTTTTTTTTGTTTTGTTTTGTTTTGTTTTTCTCTGAAATAGGGTTTTTCTGTGTAGCGTTGGCTGTCCTGAACTCGCTTTGTAGACCAGGCTGGCCTCGAACTCACAGAGATCCTCTGCCTCCCAAGAACTGGGATTAAATGCATGATATCCCCTTATAATCACTTACTGGATGAGCGAATGGAGTGCATGAGATTAATATTGTTCAGGAGAAAAATGGGGCACCATCGAAGTATACAGCTAATTTGTTCTTCTTTCCCCAGGGAACTGTCAAACAACTTCTGCTGTTCTCTGAGACCGAGGGGAGCCCCTGCTTCTTGGATGTCTGTGGGACCTTCCTGGTTACAGGGACAGATTTAGCTCACTTTAAAAGTTTTGATCTTTCCAGAAGGTACAGTTTTCAACCAAACAGAAGTATTAGATACTCTTTTTTTTTTTTTAATTATGAGACAATTTTATAGACAAGGAAATTGGCACAGTGTCAGAAATCTTAGGTTCTTATCTCATGTGACTTTTTTTTTTTTAAATTTCGAGAGATCTTTTATCTTTTATCAAGAGATCTAAAAATTAACCTCCTTTTCTCTATACTAGGGGGTTAAGTGCACAAGGTGAAAAGTTGTAAGCTAAACAGAGCATCCTGTAGGCCCAGGTCTCAGTGGCCAGAGAAATTAATTTCTATGAACAGCAGAAAGATCCTAAGAAGAGACTTCTTCTTGATGCTGAGGTCATGCTTTCTCCTCCTGTCCTCACACAGGGAAGCAAAAGTGCATTGCAGCTGCAAGAACCTGGCCCAACTGGTCCCTGATGTGGGGAGCATCACTTCTCTGAGATGCAATGCCAATGGGAACAAGATCAGCATCCTCCTTAACAAGGTAAGGCCATTAGCCCCGCAGGCCTTCTGGTCCATATGAAGGACCTCCTTGGAGAGGGGCTGTGCCTTGGACCCCTGGCAGGTCCATAGCTTCTGTTCTGGCTGGATGTACTCTCCTCAAGAGGTCTTTCGGGTCTTTACAATCTAGCCTACTCTCTAGCCCCTCTTTGCTTTAATCTCCTTCCTCCATTTCCCATCTTCCATTGGCTTTCTCCTGCCTAACTCTGTTCCTGTTTTGGAGGGGGGTTGGAGGAGAGGAGTGGGGGGGGGAGCTGGTTGTTGTTTTGAGACAGGATTTCTCTGTGTAATCCTGGCTGTCCTGAAACTTGCTCTATATACCATGCTGGCCTCAAACTTGGAAATCTGCCTGCCTCTACCTCCTAAATTCTGGGATTGAAGGCATGCACCACCACTCCTGGTCTATACTCTCTGTTCTTACCTTGCACACACTTTCCATCTTTTCCTACCTTTTTGTTTTCATAACAGTCAGTAATGTCTTTTTCAGAGAGCTCTTTGATCTTTTTTTGTTTGTCTTCTTTACCCAGCCAAACTCTTTGCCACAAGAAGGGGTGACAATTTCTTCTATCATAGCTAAGCCTACAGTGTTTTATTTTGTCTAAAGTTTTGGCATATTTTTATCTCATCTTTAAAGGACTCACATTCCATTTACAACTCTAATACCTGCTACAATAAAGTTTCCTTCTGGATATGTGTCCCTCATCCTTGCTTTGTAGACATGAGTAGCCCAGGGCTGCCTTTCAGATGGTGCCTATTGGCAGCTCAGAGGAAGACCCTGAGTTAGCCAGGACACAAATGTTGATGTCACAGTGGAGGAGGCAAGGAAGGAGGGGTTGAGCACAGCTCGTCCCTGTCCTCAGCTCTTCTGTGTGTATGTGTCCATGACGATCTTCCTCAGCAAGTGTTCAAAAGAAGGAAGTGAGAGGTGATAAAAATGACCACGAGAACATCATTATCAGTTGTGTCCTGTCCCACTGACCCAATCTTAAAATGGAGGATTTAACACCAGACCAACAACTGTGAAGCTCAGAACCCTAACCGTAATGGCAGCTTGGCAAGGAAAGAAAGAATGAGAGAGCCCTGCAGTGGTGTTCAAGTAATACAAAAGAAAATATGGACTCAGTGGCAGCTGTGAAGGCAGGGAGCTGCATGAAACCCATACAGAGTCCTCCAGATCTGGGGAACATTTGGAATTGTGAGAAAAGAACATCCCTGATCTTCAAAGACCCTCGTGTGTAGAGCCGGAAAGATGAATTAAAGAGTAAGGGCGCTTGCTGCTCTTGTAGGCTGTCCCGGTGCCCACCTGGTGGCTCACAAATACCCTTAACTCAAATTCCAGGGGGTCTGACAGCCTTACTGACCTGTGTGGGAATCAGAACCATGTGCTCCACATGCATACGGGCAAGACACTCATTCACACAGAATCAAAGAATTCATATGTAGTCCTGAGGTAGAGGTGGCCAGAATCACCAGGGCAGCTCTGCAGCTTCTGAGCCAAAAAACCTGGAGAGCTAAGCCTGAGCTTAAGGCAGATGGCACCTAAAGAACCTCAGCTGGTTCTGTTGTCACTGCGCGTGCCCCGGAGGGCAGCACGGGCAATACGCCCCACCTCCCTCCTGCACTACAAAACATCACTTAAGTAGTTACAGGCTCAAGGTGCCCGTGGGGGTGCTGACAACTTTTATCTTGAAATAAGGTTTCTCAGATCTTGAGATGAGAGTCCTATAACATAAAATTAACCATTTAAGGTGAGCAATTCAGTGGGACTTGACACATTTGTAGTATATCTACCCCCTCTATTTGGTCCTAAACATCTTCATTCTAAAGAAATATGTCATACCCACTAACTGCTAGTCACATTCCCTACCTTAACTGCTGTCACCCACAATCCTGCTTACTATCTCTGGATTCATTTTATAAGCTGTGTGGCCTTTTTTAAAAGTTAATTTTTCTTTATTATGTATACAGTGTTTTGTCTCATGTATACCTGCTCACCAGAGGAGGGCACCAGATCTCATCATAGACTCATTATGTGGTTGCTGAGATTTGAACTCAGGACCTTTAGAAGAGCAGCCAGTGCTCTTAACCTCTGAGCCATCTCTCAAGCTCCTTGTGTGGCCTTTTGATTCTGGCTCCTCTAACTCATGTTGTAGCATGTATCAGTGCTTTGTTCTCTCTGCCTGAGTTGTTTTGATAGATCACGTTTTCTCCATTATCTGTTGATGGTCACCTGGTAACTGTCCTCTTGTTCTCTCATGATTGGCGCTTCTGTGACTTTAGAGTGGAACCGCCGCCTTGGAAGCTCCTCATAGCTGTGAGCAGCAGGAGCAGCCAGGCTTTCTGTGCTCCTGAGCCAGGCTTTTACTAGAAATACTACTTACAACTTCATGTTTCAGCTGCCAAATGAAAATGATTGTCACCCCATCTGGTGGACTTTATGTTCTTTGTATTCAGTTGTATGAATGACAATTTTGCCATAAATCCAAATTCCTTTTGAGTCCCTTTGGTTAATCTACCTCAGTTAAGAAATTTTCTCCAGGCTGAGCATTGTGGCATATTCCTTAAATCCCGGTACTCAGGAGCCAGAGACAAGCAGATCTCTGTGAGTTCAAGGCCACCTAAGTTCAAGTTATCCAAGGAAAAATAGGCTGAAACCCTATTTTTCTTTTCTCTTTTTAAATCTCCAGTCAGAACAGAGAGCAGCTCCCTATGTTTTAGACTTATGTTCTAAGTTTTCTGAAATTACAAAGTAGTAACTAAAAAACTATTCAGTGGGTTTAATAATAAAGAATTTAGTTATTATTCTGTGTGCCATTTCCTGGAAGCCTCGGTGGCTGGTGACAGGTGTACTTTCCTTAAGTACACCTGTGTCACCCCATGAGCACAGTCCCTAAAGTGCTTGCCACTCTCTGTGCCATTATGTGTGGCACTCATTTTTATGCTTTATTTTAAACTCTTTTATTGTATTTATTCCACCAGTAAGAGAGAAGATTACTGGGAAGAGGGCCTGCTGACCCCTTTACTACTCACAGCTTTTTTGGGTTGATGGGTTCTTTGCAGGCTTTACCAATCTCTGTCAACTGCAAATGCAGCAAGCAGTCTCTGCCTACCTCCTGCAGGCCACTGCGCCACAAAGCATCGCCATGCCACCACACCGCCCTTCTCTGCCACACCTTCTCCTCCTTCTGGGCTCTCAGATTTCTATCTCTCAGAGTCTTAGGCCGCACCCCTCTCCATGCCACGTGGCAGGCTGTTACCAGGCGGCAAAGACCATGCATACCCTGCTGGGGGTAGTTATCAGGTGCGAACAAACTAAAGCTCAAACTAAAAGCCCACACTTGGGATTAAAACAAAAACACATTTAACATAACATAACTGAGGTCTTTTTTGTTGTTGCTCTTTTTGTTTTGTTTTTAGATTTATTATTTATATAGTATTCTGCCTACATGTGAGCCAGCAGGCCAGAAGAGGGCACCAGATCGCATTGTAGATGGTTATGAGCCACCATGTGGTCGCTGGGACTTGAACTTAGGACCTTTGGAAGAACAGCCAGTGCTCTTAACCTCTGAGGCATCTCTCCAGCCCAATAACTGAGTTTTTAAAGAAACCAAAACTTCCATTGCAATTATGTTTTCTCTTTTTTAGGTTGACAACAGTCCTGATTCCAAAATCTACATCTATGATGTTGAAATGGACACAGTGAACGTCTTCAACTTCAAGACTGGACAGATTGGACAGATACACACCCTGTCCTTTAGTGAGCCAGTGACTAAGGAGTAAGATTGTAGTTGAGATGCTCTTGTTGAAATCAATATTTTCCAACTCTCCAACTTACTAAGTTTTATTTTGAACTCCAGAACCTCACGGAAGTTACTAGTACTAAAACAAAATAGTAAACCAGACACTTGAGCAGATGAAGTAGATTTAAGGCCTTAGTCTGTACTCCAGGGCTGAGGTTAGGGAACTCTTAGCAGAAACTCAAACTTTGGAGGGGCTCTCCCAACATCTCTAGAAATGTCCCAGAACAGATTGGCTTTAGACCTACTGGCAACTCTGAAAGGAAGGAGATGCTTGTCTTTGTAGAGAATAGAAAATGTGAAATAAGTGTCTTTGGAGGGGGTGTGTGGCATATAAATGTAGTTTCTGCTACAGAAAACATGTTCTTGGGACTTACAGTACTTTGCTACCATCTATATTTAATTCTGCATGACTTGGGTCAGAAAAGCAAACTGTTTAGAAAATGGTGCTAGATGTGTCTTCAGTGAAGTAAGTGTAGAACAAAAAGCATAGTATGGAAACCTTCAGGCTTGTCCTGGAGCTGTGCAGAGAAGAGAGGAACTGGCATTAGCAGGGTTGCATTTGGTGCCTCGCTTTTATTGTCACCCTTTTTTGTACTGCTCTGCTGTTGTTGCAGTTGTTATAGTTTGATTGTGATGCCGAGGGTGGATCCCAGAACCTGGAGTGTGCTGAGTGCCCTGCCACTGAGTTACACCCTGACCCCAGTCTTACTTTTGCTAGTTCTGGTAGGTCCTTCCTTCCTGACTCAGATCTTCCTGCACAGTTCTCTCCCTGAGTCCTGCCTGCCTCGTTAGACCCTCCTCTGGAGCCTCCTTTAGTCTCGTTGGTCTACTTTTCATCTCTGTTGTTACTTGAACAACCCCTTCCTGTCTTTCCACCGAAGTGTGCCACCGATCTGCTTCAGAGTGTGGGTGCTCGAGCTTCTCACCCTCACACTGACACAGCTTCAGGCCAATCCCGAGTCCTGGGCTTTCTGCAACCAGTGTGAATCTTTGGAACTAACCTTTCCTCTACTCCCTACTGCTACTTCCCCTCTTTATCTTATGAAGCGTCTTCTCATTCGTGTTTGTCTGTCTGTCTGTCTAACTTTCATGGCTTCTCTTTCAAGACTGGGAAACTTTCTTTCTGCCTGTTATGAATCACCTGCCAGACCAGTCTCTGGCCAGACTCCTCATAGTACAAAGGATACAGCTTGAATCTGGCATTTTATAGGTATTTGGCAAGTGTTCCATCTTAAATTCTGTGCTTGTCACATCAGTTATGCATGGCGCTGAGCAGGCTTTGTCCTGTGGGCACAGTAATGCTGGTGCTGGTGGCAGTTATGAGGATTATATGTTTCCTGTAGGAGTGGACCCTGCACAGCCATCAAGGGTGATGAGCCCAGCAGTGCCACCCTCTATCCCGAGTTTACTGTGCTCCTCTAGGGGTGGCATAGAAGGGTGACTATCTCCCTTATCTCATCGTTCTGCCTTTTTGCATGTGATTCATCTCCCAAATAGCTGAGACTAATGGCATGTGCCACCACACTCATTTCCTGTTGAGATCTTCATTCTTTGCCACCTAGTTCATTGAGCTCCCTATAGAATGTCTTCAAGTTTCGGGCCCATAAATTATGGTATCTTATAGGGTAAGTTGGTATTTTACTAGGGTAAAAGTACAGACAGTGTCACACAGAGTTGCTTCTGGATTTCTGCCTAAGAAATTAGAGGGCCTCTGCATGATCTCAAGGTCCAAGCATCATTCTCTGTGTCCCCTAAGCCAGACTTCATGGACCCTTTCTCCCAGTTTCTCAAAGTCTTCAAGAATATGTTCAGATAGGATGTATGTCAGCGAGTGGCCCAAAGGTGCTGCAGAACCCATGCACTTACCAACACTGCCAGCTGCTGGCATTGACTGACATGACTCTGAATGGGTGTGGGTAGCAGTGAAAGAAATTTTCTTCTCAGGGATGGGTCTTTCCTTCTGTTTTAGGACCCGTGTCTTTATGCATGAGAGGCTAGCAAGTTATGTGCCTGTGAACCATTTCTGGGATCAGAGTGAGCCTAGGCTCTTCGTGTGTGAGGCCTTACAGGAGGCACCTGGAGCCCAGCCACAGGCTATAGACAAGCATCCCCATGTGGAGGAAGGCACATGCCAAAAGGTACCTGTTGCTTTGCTATGTTACATGTTTAGACATATATGGCCACCATTTGCCAGATAGTGTCTTCATGGCATAGCTTATGGGAGAGTCACTAGGAAAATTTATTCATGAATAAGTGTTACCATGTCATCAAGATCATTTCCATAAACCAATAGTAGACAGATCCATCTTGAGCCACCTTTTTGTCCGGTCTAACCCCAAATATTGATTTCTGTAACTGTTTCATGTTGCTTTTTCTCTATGGGCAGAGAACTTTATCGACAGTCAGTATGAACTAACCCTTACTGTGTTAGCACATACTGAGATTGGGTCATCAGCCTGTCCTCAGTCACTGTCTAACATCCTCACTGCCTGCCCCTCTCGAGGGCTCAAGCTCCATGTACATGTGCTCTTGGCTCTAGCCCAATACACTCATAGGAGCTAGGACTCTGATACTTTCCAGGGCTTCTGTTTTGCAAGATGTCAGATGTGCCTAAAAAGTCCAGCAATCTGTGTGTCTCTGTAACCCACTTAGCTCTCAAACCTGTATGCATGCAGAACTCCCAAGTAAGTCCACACAGGGAAGCCAACCCTGTTGTTTCAGGACTCATCTTCCTGCTGGAAGCATTCTCCTCACAGATGGGAGTCTGCCCCTGAGATCATCCAAAGTCAGTCAGTGCCCGGAGAATATCAGGAGCAAATCCTCTCCTTGATCCTCAAAATGATAGACTAGATCAAAGTGACTTCTGTATGTATCACTGGAATGAAAGAAACATTGCCAGAGGAATTTTTCAGATGGGAAAGGTGAATAGTGGCCACATCAAAGGTAGCTAGTAGGAGGTAAAGGCATGTCCATGGGGAAGTTATTGCTGGTCATGTGATCAAGTGGTTCTTTGTGGGTTTTTTGTAATAATGGTGTAGGCAGTTCTAAGAGTTCACACCACAGTAGTAAGGGAAAGTCTTGCATCCTCTTTTGTTTTTAACAAGCAATTGCAGACAGGAAAATGGTCCTGGCATTTGATGTGGCTTGTTCTGTCACATGAGACAAAAACAACATAACATTTTTAGGCTCTCTCTTGTACCTTCCCTAGTCCCCAAGAGTGCAGTAGAGAGCTTTTTGTTGTCGTTGTTGTTGTTGTTGTTATTGCTGTTGGTTCTGTTTGTTTTTTGAGGCAGGTGGAGTAGAGCCATCTGGACGATGTTGTTACTCTTCAAAGGGGCAGATAAGCTTGGGAAGCCCTGGCAGTGTCAGCACCATGAACATAAACCCTGGAAAGGAACTGAGAAGAAAATAGAAAATTATATTGCTGCATTTAATACAGAGCAACGTTGTCCTGTGTCTTCCAGGAAGATGTTTTGATTCTGTCATTCTTCGCTTGCGAAGAACATGGCTTCTTGCTCCATGATTGCTTCCCCCGGCCATCAACCTTTCAGAACCTTCTAGGAATGGAAGTGCCTCATTATTACTTCACCAAAAAGGTGGGAATCCCTGGTACCTGCAGTTATTCTCTGTTCTCCCTCTTACCTGGGAGGGTAAGAGGGAGATTCTTTCATGTATCTCTAGCACATTTGAGATATGAGTTGGCCCTTGCCTTTTGGCTTTTCTTCTACAGGCATAGCTTTAAGCCTTTGTCATTTCCTTTTATTCTAGCTGAATTTTTTAGCATAAATATTCCTATATTCTTCTTTGAGATTTACAAATGATACAAATCTCCCAGATCCCAGCCCAGAGCTGATCACTATACAGCAGCTGGCATCACTGCTCCGGGGTCCCTGTACCTAGATAGAAGTGAGGCACATGAACCTGCACATGGTTCCTTGTAAGTTCTTGAAAGAGTGGGGTTTGCAGGCACACTTACCTTACATGCCTGAGATCCATTTGAGCTGTGCTTCAAAAAACGACACATCGACAAAAGCACCTGAGTCCAGGCAATCTCATTCTGTTGCATTTGTTTTTACCAATTGCCAGTTCTTCAGCTTTGGGCTCCATTGTCACCTGAAAGGCGGTGGCTGGTGACTGTGAAGGTGGTTGCTGCTGCTTCTTCCTTTCTCCTGTTTTTTCTTTCAATGATGGGGGTCATCCTGAAGCCCTCACACATGCTAGGCAGGTCCTCTACCACGCTGAGCTACAACCCACAAGCATACCTGAGGGACTTTTTCCACACAGGAGCCAGTGCCTGTGGGCTTAAAGCCTGGCCTCCGGGACTGGAGCTGTGGTGAGCTCCACAGTATTCTGCAGCTGCTGTCATGGCTTTGATCTCCTGAACTGAAGAAATGGGTCTCCTGTTGGACCCACACCTTCTAGAAAAATGTAGACGTTCTATGTCACTTCCCTTGCACTGTCATACCAGAAAGGAGGGAAGAGGAGACCTATGGTGTCAGCTTTTACCTTTGACCTAGGTATTTCTTGGTTTCCCCATCTAGTGATGTAAATCAGTCTTTAAAATGAATCCTGTGCTGGCTGTTCTTATTGTCTGAAACTAACCTACTTTCTTTTTTTTTTTCTTTTGGTTTTTTGAGACAGGGTTTCTCTTTGTAGCCTTGGCTGTAGACCAGGCTGGCCTGGAACTCACAGTGATCCACCTGCCTCTGCCTCCCTGAGTGCTAGAATTAAAGGTGTGTTCCACCAGGCCAGGTTTAAAGAATTACTTTTCATTATGTGTCTATGTGTCTGCGTGTAAACGTGTGCACATGAGTGCAGGGGCCTGTGGAGGTCGGACATACAGATGGCTGTGAGCCCCCTGGGTGATGGGAACTGAACTGTGGTTCTCTGCGAGAGCGGTGCATGCTATAGACTGCTGAGCCGTTTCTCTAACCCCCTCTGCCTTTTCCCCTTTCTTTCTTGCAAGGTTTTACCTGTATAGCCTACGGTGGCCTTGAACTTAATCAGATCTTCTGCCTCAGCATCTTGAGTGCTCAGATTGCTAGGATTTCAGGTGTATCCAACCATGCCTGAATTAGCCCTTTGTTACTTTTGTAGCCAAAAGTGAGTAGGAGGATTCGCCACCGGGAAACAGAATAGAGGAAAAGGCCATGTCTTTGTAGGCCCCTGCACATAACCATAGAAGCTAATGAAGCTGTACCACCTGCAGAGACATTCGCAAGTATACAAACTGGGCGCAGCTCTTCCCAGAGCTGTGATTTGCTTTAGAAGGAACTGGTACAGAGAATAGTACAGAATGTGGTTGCTGCCCCTTGATTTGTGACCATTTAGTGATCAGCCTTGGGGGGAGAGGGGACATTATATATAAAAATGTATCCAAGACAATTGGTTCCAGGTTTCCAACTTCATATCCACAGCCACTTGAAGTTGATGTGTTAGCTGTTTGTCTGTTACACTTCGTGTGCCTTAAAAATGAGGTTGAAGGCTGGGAAAGTATTCATGTCATCTGCTCAGCTCTGGGAGTCCTTATTGTGTCCATACAGGTGTCCCTAATTGCTTTATTTTAAATAGAATTCCACCACCAGAGTGATATTTTCCTGGCATTTTTTTATTCTTGTTTTATGTTTTTTGGTTTAATTTCTCTTTAATTTGAAAATAGAACATTTGAAAAGCTCTTTAAATTGTTTCTGTTGAATTTTCTGAATTTCATATTCTGGATTTTTGTTTCATCCACACATTCATGCATGTTTTCTTTTGTTCTCACCTCCCTTTCTGTGCCTACATGCATAGTTGTTATTCCACAGAAGAGGCATATATGATGCGGTTGTAAGTATGAAGCCCTGAGATGGCTTGTCCCCTTGGCTTTGTCTTGTCCCTGAATGTGTGTGCCAACAATCCTTACCTACCCTGCTCACCTACTTAGGAAACTTTCCTGCAGGCTAGGGCTTTTTTGTATGGTCACAGAGCCAAGTGAAGTTCGGAGCTCATTGGTTCTTAGCCCGGTATGTACCTGTGACATGTGCAGTCATTTCACATGATCTCCAGGTATAGGAAATGTTTGATTACCCTATGTTTGCAATATAGGTAGTATCATTGTTTAACCTGCAAAGTACTGTCAAAGAGTAGCCGGAAGGCATTGTGTCTTTCTCTAGGCTGCTCCTCTTCTGTTTGCTGACGTGCAGTTCTTCAGTCTTCTTTCCCAAAGGTTTTCAATGCTCACACATCCAGGATGGTCTGGGAGAATCTAGTATTCTTAGTTCTGAGCACACTTACCATGTGACTGGCAGTTTGCTCTAATCTACTATGACACAGAATAAACAGTCTCTGCCTCCCATCCAAATACCAGTGAAATCCAAGCCCTGTTTAGCTCCCAAGATGAGACAGGTTCAGAGGTGTTCAGAGTAGTGAGGCCATAGATAACAATTCTTGCCTCAGAAATCAGTAACAATGAGCTAAAACGAGAAACATGATGAATAAGCAGGGAACAAGGGATTCCAAGACTCCCCTGGGTGCTCACATAATAAACTGGGTTCTCATTAGAACAACACCAGGGATGATGCTGTCACCAGTGTGAAGGACAGTGTCCAGCTGACTGCACTATTAGCTAAACTCGTCCATCACCTAGTTGATATTACTCAAAAACATACACACACACATATATATGTGTGTGTGTGTGAGTGTGTATATATAAGGATATATAGATAGATATGGATATACGTGTATCTCCTTAGACCTAAACTCAAGCTGCTCTCAATAGAGCCTTTGCTTATGCTATGCTTAAGCAAAGAAAGAAGGGTTTTCCAGCTATAAAAAGGCACGATAAATTCCACCAGATTTTCAGGGTCTAGGCCAAGTGTTAGTTTCTCCTAAGGCCCTCTCACTGGGGCTTTCAGGCAGGCAGGCTCAGAGGGAGAGGGAGACTGAATTGTTCATGACATCTGAGCTGGGAAGGGAGGTGGTTCAAGCCACCACTTGGGTAGTCATGGCGGCAAATATGTGCTAGAGAGTATGTGTACATAAAATGGTCTGCAGAGAGAAGGAAGTTCCAGCCCTGGAGAGAAGGTTCTCAGCACAGATACAGTGACAAAGAACAGTATACAAGAGCCCTGGCGGGGCGGTAGGCTTCCCAAGCACTTCTTGTTCAAGAAACACAGGCTACTGTTCTTTAATTCTAAGAGATACACGGCTTTACTTAAGCCTCTTAAACTGGTAAAGAGTCTTTATGATGAACTGAACACTAGGAGACAGTAGTAGAAAGAGCTGTGTTCAATGTGAGGCTCTGATATTACTGAGTTAGAGGCTGACAAACAAGTTTATACTTGGGCAACCTTTGTTTACCTGTTGTCTGAAACAAGGGCCCAAAGTTTGGATTATTTCCAACGACCTTAAAGGTTTTTCAGTAACCTGTAGGAACAATTAGGCCTCTGGCTGCATACCTATGCATAGATTTCTCGGTAGTTGTTTGAATATAGAAGAGGTCAGACTAAGTGTAGGCAATAGCGTTACATATTGACAAGCATATGGGGCCTTTGTCCTCCAGCCTGGAGAAGCAGACAAAGAAGAAAGGGTGGATTCTGGGCACTACCATATCCCTCAGATGGTAGCCAAGAGACCTCTGCGAGACTTTGTGGGGCTGGAGGACTGTGACAAGCCTACTCGGGATGCAATGCTGAACTTCAGCTTCTTTGTCACCATTGGAGACATGGATGAAGCTTTCAAATCTATCAAACTCATCAAAAGGTAAGAAGTCCACTCATTGAAGTTTCAAAGGTGATGTGCACCCTGCCTAGAGCCTTCAGTCTTTTTAATGTCTTCTTTAAAAAAAAAATGTTTCATCCAGGCATGGTGGCACATGCCTTTAATTCTAGCACTCCAAGTCAGAGGCAAGGGGATCTTTATGCCTTTGAGACCATCCTGGTCTCTGGGAGTCTAGGACAGCCAAGACTACACAGAGAAACCCTGTCTCAGAAAACACAAAACAAAGAGGTTTTTTTGAGATTTATTTTATATGACTGAATATTTTACTTGCCTATATGTATATGCACCACATTTGTGCCTAGTGCCTAAGGAAGTCAGAGGGCGTCTGTTCCCAGGAGCTGTAGGTACAGATGACTGTGGCCCTTCATGTGGCTGCAGGTCCTTCAAGAGCAGTAAACTCTCTTTCCCGCTCTTTTATGCCTTCTTTATACATTTTATTTTAAGCTAACAGCCCTTCTGTGATTATAGTTTTTAACTGTTTTCTACTCAGTGAAACATCATCAAGCTCAAGAACATGGGACTATCTGGCACACTGTGTGTTTGGTGCAGCAGGCAAGCCTGACTCCTGGCATCAGTGGTGCCTGGAGCCTCTAAGTTGTCACTTTATTATTTCATTTATTTTCAAGTATTCAGAATACTCTAGCCAAAAATTCTGCAGGTGCTAAATATTGCTTAAAAGTGTTAATAAATAAACACCAAAACTATCAATGAAATACAGTTAAATTTTATGAAAGAAGTTACAGTGATTAGATATGCTGGCTCATTTTTAAAATTTCAACACTTAGAAGGCTGAAGTAGAAAAAGTACTGTAAGGCTGAATCCAGCCTGGGAGGCAGTGAACTCTAGGCTAGTCTATGATGCAGCGTGAGACCCTGTCTTAAAAAAAAAAAAAAATCAGCAAAGGCTATCTATAAGTACTTTCTCCACTCCTGAGAGAATTCACAAATTCTTAGCAAGAATATTAGACAGATTTTCATTTCAAAGAGTAAAATAAAATATGGGAGAATTATACTAAGAGAAAGGAAAGGTAGCCAGGCAGTGGTGGCGCAGGCCTGTAATCCCAGCACTTGGGAGGCAGAGGAAGGCAGATCTCTGTGAGTTTGAGTTTAGCCTGGTCTACATACTAAGTTTCAGGACAGCCGTAGTTATATAGTGAGACCCTGTGAAGATCAGGGTGGTGGGGAGAAAACAAGAAAGGAAAGGTGTGAAAATAAATACCTGGAGTTAAGAGCCCTGTCTGCTCTTCCAGAGGACTAGGGTTCAATTCCCAGCATCCACATGACAGTTCACACTTGTTTGTAATTCCAGTTCCAGGGCTTCTGACACCCTCACACAGATACACATCCAGGCAAAACACCAAAGACCATAAAACAAAAATATATGTTTTTTGAAAAAAAGAAACAAGATGAATGTCTGGAAAAAGCATCAGCTTCAGTGGTAATTTTGAATACAGATCATATTTTTCAGAATATTGTGGAATCCTCATCTACTATCTTTGAAAACCATTGATTGATTGAGGCCTGGTTTTATTGCAGTTAGAGGAGTTTTTTCCCCCACTGGCCAAGTAGACATTTAGCTTGGAGGTGGCCAAGGCTAAATATCATAGCCCAACCTTCCTTGGATCACTTGCATTTAATGTGGACATGATCACCTGAAGCAGATTGCAAGGCCGCTTTTATTATTTTTTAATTAGATTTTAATTTTTTTAATATTAGTTATGGTTTATTAACTTTGTATCACAACTGTATTCCTCTCCCTCATTCCCTCCCAATTCCACCCTCCCTCCCTCATCTTCTCCCTACCCCTTTCGAAGTCCACTGATAAGGGAGGTCCTCCTCCCCTCTCATCTGACCCTAGCTTATCAGGTATCTTCAGGCCTAGCTACAAACTCCTCCTCTGTGGCCTAGCAGGGCTGCTCCTCCCTCGGGTGGGTGGGGGGAGGTCAAAGAGCCAGCCATTGAGTTCTTGTCAGAAATAGTCCCTGTTCCCCTTACTGGGGTACCCACTTGGATACTGAGCTACCATGGGCTACATCTGAGCAGGGGTTCTAGGTTATATCCAAACATGGTCGTTGGTTGGAGATACAGTCTCACAAAAGACCCCCGTGCCCAAATATATTTGGTCCTTGTGGAGCTCCTATTCTCTCCAGGTCATACTAACTCCCCCTTCTTTCATATGATTCCCTGTACTCTGCTGAAAGTTTAGTTATGAGTCTCAGTATCTGCTTTGATACACTGCTAGGTAGAGACTTTCAGAGGCCCTCAGTGGTAGGCTCCTGTCCTGCAAGGCCACTTAAATCTTTAATGTACTCTCTATAGACATAAAATACTGATGTATATAGGCACATCCATAGTATTAGTGTATGACCAGAATTAAAAATGTGTTATAGGAAGAGACAAGGGGAGGAAGTCATAGCTAACCACTTGAATGTGTGTGTTGTACTATGGACATGTACCTGATCATTTCTACACAGTGTGCTGAGTGTGTTGTGTGTGGCCAACCCATAAGTGCTTGCATGTCATTGTAGGTCTCTGCGTGTTTAAGGCACCAGTCTGTTTTAGTGTTCTGACTAAAGACAAAGACTTGGCACAGGATGGGCTTCAGAATTTAGAATGGTCAATTTGAGTTACTAGAAGGTTGAAAGCAACAAACTTTGACATTTATTAGGAGAGGCAGCCAGAGGAGGGCATCTTACTCCTGGCTTTCATGTCCTGATAGTGCCAGTTTCTTCTTGCTACCTCTGCCAGCAGTGACTCCTGCCTCCTGGTGGCCATGATCAAGTAGTGCAGCATCCAGAGGAACCCTCTAGCAAGGGTGTGTGCACTAGGACTTTGGTCACAGATGTGATCAGACAGCCCTGGGTTCTGTGGGCCATTTTTAACATCAGAGGTACAAATTTTATATACTTTCTGGGGAGCCACTGACCGAGGGATTCAGCCTGTCTGAAAGCAGCATGGCCTCTGGAGGGATCCAGTAGCCTATCCCACTCTAGCTGGAGAAAGGCTGAAGGTCTTCCTGGGAAAAGCTTTCTAGATTTCCTCTTTTCTGTTCTGTGTTGATCTGCCATGCCAGGCCAGTTTTCAGAGCGCAGGAATGTGGACTTTGAGTTGCATGGCCATGACTTAGGGTATGTGCCTCCTGGGGTCCCTAAGGAGCTCTTCTCAGTTCTTTTTAGTGTCATCCCACAAAGACTCAGAAGAAAATGCAGAAATAGGGGCACATAAAGCACAAGTTTTAGGCACAGTTCAGAAGCTTGTGTTTATTTTAACTTAGACAAATAATCAGGAGTAAAACATACACTACTAACCTGATCCTGACATAAAACCGTTACCACCTGTTAGAAATTCTATTTCATTCAAGGATTATCAGACCCTTCATGAAAAGCTTCCTGGCTGTTGTGCTTTATAAAAGTAACCAGGGATACCATCCTAGCAGATGCAGAATAAATTAACCCCAAATGGAGGTGGAGAGCAAGGTGCCCACACTGCCTCCTTCCCCGCCTCAGCTTCTAGTCTCCACCTTTTAAACTTGCATGATGTGAAGCCATGCTGTGCTGCTGGCTAAGGAAGATTGTGTCAGAAGTAGGTGGCACAATGGCATAGAGACACATAATATATTCATATGTAACATAATAAATGTACATGAGTATCATACATATGTATATATAGGTAGCCCAGACTTGCCCCACACCTCTGCACAAGCAGGGCCCAGGACAGTCTACTGGTTTCTAGACTATGACGTTATAGTGGTTATTCATAAAGTCCCAGTAAGGGTATTCTCAGCATGGAGACTCCACATAGTCATTATCCAAGCCACGGCGGAACCGTGCTGTGAGGGAACGACTGATGACAATCACCCGGGGTGCCATGCAGTCCTCCCTCCGGTGAAGAATGTTCCAGATGAGCATCGCAGCCGCCAGGGTGGCTAGAAGGCAGGCACCAATATTCAGGTAGCAAGACCAAGATAAGTTGGTGTAGGGGCCAATTCTATAAAAGGTCACCAATCCAATGACCAGCACGAAGCCTGCAAAAAAGACAGGGGAGATTTAGAAGTTTGTATCTGAGTAGTAGGAGCTCTGTCCAGAGAGCCCCTAGGAGTCAGGCTCTCTCTGTGTCCTTCAATGCTGTCCTAGGATGGGTTGAGCTTCTTTGTGTCATCCTGCCTATCTCTTGCAGCCTTCGCACCTGGAGGTCGCAGCCAGGCTTGCATCTGGGTGGCTGCAGGGACAGAGACAGTAGAGGGTCCTGCCCTGTCAACCTCTTGGCATCAGGCCTGCTCTTGAGAGTCAGTCAGTATGGCTGTCTACAATCCCCACATCTGGAAGGCAGCCTTCCCAGCCCCAGACAGGACCAGCCATCATTTAGTTAAACTGAATTCAATTACCTCTGACTTTTATAAATGCTTAAGTAATTTGAAGCAAAAGCAAATAGATATTTCTTAAATTTTAACTAGAAGCAGACTGGCATCACTGGTTTAAGTCCCTGTTGGAGAGTTTCATACCCATGGCTCTGCTGTCAGCACAACAGAGGTTCCCTCTCTTCTATCCAGGTGACCTAGAGCTTGCACTCCAGATGAGCACAGACAGGTTGGGGTCTGGCTTGTGTCTGGTTTTGGTAATGTTTGGTTTCCTTTCACTTCTCAAGGGAATTTCCCTCTCCCTGCCATTCCCCACCTGCCTGTGCTGCTGCTGGGCCTTCCCTCCTCTCCATAACCACCTTGTCTGGCTCATACTAATCCTTTCTTAAGGGGTGACGGTGGCTTGATCTTGCTAGTTCTTATCATAGGAAAAATTTCAGTTTCCTGCCCAGACTGTGTTGACTTAAGATGCCAGGACACAGCTGCTTAATAGAGAAGGCAGCACTAGGAGACTTGCAGACCTTGATGGGTATAGCCTATGCCATGCTGCTGCCCAGAAGCTGGCTCTGGGAGATAGTTACAGGGGCTTACCAAGCCTGGGAGGTTATAAGGCCCAGCTCAACTGT